GTTAGCACACGGAGCTCGTTGGGCCCCAGCTGTCAGTCACTTCCCTGCTCCTTCAGTATCAGGGGCGCTTGCATTGACGATGGGAACTCCTGCATTTCATGACAGGAAGGCCTTGCAGGGCTGTTTTCTCACCGTTGCTGCATCTGTCTGTCTTGGGACGTAAGATATTTATATGGAGGGAGGGATGTTTGTTTTAGCGCACGACAGATACTTGCAGTGAAGATTAGATCGGGCACCTCTGAGAGTCTCCAAAGCATGTAATAAACAATTCTTCATCTTTAAAACAAAGGCGTGGGCCGCCCCCTCAGCCTGCCCAGTGCTCGTAGCTGCCAGAATAAACTCCCTGCCCATGTCAAGCTCACCGCACGTGTATATACTTCGAGTTCCCTGTTTTCTTTCATCTGCTTCCTTGGTAAACAGACGGCAGACACTTCCGCTGCCTGATCTCTCCCTGACCCTCTGCACATCTAGCTCAGACGCCAACGGGCTGTGTGTCTCTGGCTATTCATAGAGGGAGGGTTACCTTCCTTCCTTCTGGAGAAACCTGGGTCTTTTCATGGGTCTTTTTGCAAAGGGCTGTTTGGAATCGGAGGTCCAGGGTAACGGAAAAAGATCTCTCTTTTCGTGGTACTTGAACAATCCGTTAAAAACTCCTCCAATGAGCCATCTCCAGGGGGTGCTGGTCTTACTGTGCCTGCTTTTGAAGTATTTTCTCCTCTTGGGTTCGTGGGTGGTGTGAGGAGCCACATGACCGTTCATTGCAGAGGGTGCACTTGGCAACAGAGGAGGTGAAGGCCAGTGCAGGGAGCACGTGGCTCGGCCACTCTGCTGAGGCTGCGAGCGTCCTGGCTGGTCCTGGATTCTGACTTTGATCCAGAAACTACCGTGAGGTCAGCCTTCAGATACAGATGGGAAGCCAGGACACCTCATTCCGTAACATGTTTCCTCTGCGGGCAAGTCGTACAACCCAATTCAAGGGCTCAGAGTCCCTCTTTTATTTTTTTATTACTATTTTTAAATATATGTTTTTTGATTTCAGAGAGGAAGAGAGAGGGAGAGAAAGAGAAACATCAATGATGAGAGAGAACCATTGATTGGCCACCGCCGATCGAGCCCGCAACCCGGGCCTGTGCCCTTGATGGGAACCAAACTGGGGACCCTTCAGTCCGCAGGCCGACACTCTGTCCACTGAGCCAAACCAGCGAGGGCTCAGAGTCCCTCTTTTAAATGGTGATAATAAGACTTAACAACAAAGTTCTGAAATGTGTGTCTTCCCTGATAGGGATGTTATGCGAGTCAAGTAGAAGAATAGATAAGGCATTTTGAAAAAAAAAAATTTAAAGCACTCCATGATTAGAAGGTAGGTTTTGTTTCTTCTTCTAGATGCCCTAGGGTACACTGGCCTAGAACCGGTTTTTACCAGTGTTATTACTAGAACCCTCTTTTCTCCAGAGCCTTCCCCCTTCTCCTGTCATTGCACCTCTTACCCCATTTGTCTGGCTTAGGACAAAGCAGAGTGACCTTAAACTGAGGAACAGAATGAACTGCAAACTGCTGGACAGTCTCACCCAATGGAGCATGGTGATGACTGTGGCTCTGAATCTGCCCTTGACCCATGATCCCATTCATCACTCAGGCACCGGTGAGAGAGCAGGTGTCAGCAACCCTTGGTCAGTAATAGAAATGCATAGCCTGACTGGTGTGGCTCAGTGGTTGAGTGCCAACCTATGAACCAGGAGGTCACGGTTCGATTCTTGGTCAGGACACATGCCTGGGTTGCAGGCTCGATCCCCAGTAAGGGACGTGCAGGAGGCAGCTATCAATGATTGTCTCTCATCATTGATGTTTCTATCTCTCTCTCCCTCTCCCTTCCTCTCTGAAATCAATATAAATATATTTTTAAAAAGTAATAGAAATGCGTAGATGTACTAAAAGTTACAGGAAACTTTTATTTTTATTTTTTAAATATATTTTATTGGGTTTTTACAGAGAGGAAGGGAGAGGGAGAGAGAGTTAGAAACATTGATCAGCTGCCTCCTGCACACCCACTACTGGGGATGTGCCCGCAACCAAGGTACATGCCCTTTACTGGAATTGAACCCGGAACCCTTCAGTCCGCAGGCCAATGCTCTATCCACTGAGCCAAACCGGTCAGGGCTACTACAGGAAACTTTTAAATGCATAGCAACAGGGACACTGGGATTTAACGATCAAAAATTTTTACAATATGATCTCACATAACACACCCATTTTATACTATAAAAGCTTTGGTTTCAACAAGCCATGTCATGAAAGTGTCATAAAAGGGGCCACAAAGTCAGAAAGGCCAGGCATATAATAACAGGCCAGCAAGTTTAGATATGAAGGTGTTCTTGGCTTTATTGGAGGTCACATTCTCAACAGAGCCCTGACTCTGCTTTAGGTCAAATGAAGTCATATTTGGGTTGGGTTAGCCCTTGTTGAAATCACTTAGGTAAGGTCTAATTTGTTGAACCAAACCCTGCAACTTGTTCAATTCACAGGAGAACGTGTAATTATATGACTTTTATCCCAGGACCTAACAGGAATGTTTTGGTAGCATTAGTGGGGCTTGAAAGGGAATATGAGGCTGACATGGAAAATGCTTCTAGCGATCTCACCAGAAGAAACAGAAATAGAAAACATTTGTGCAAGTCTGGTCTCTGTTACTTGCATAATCCATCACACCAGTTAATACGCTGGGTTCTCAAATGAGCAAACGTGTTTTCAAATATTGAAGCTTTATTTTTACCAAAAGGGTGATCTAGTGAGCAGAGGGCGAACCATAGTTGCGTATCTTCTGAGTGAATTTTCCAAGGCGTACCATTGTTTCATATAGAACAGTTGCATGCCTGCCCAATTTCCACTTATCTGTAGTAATTACTGCAGCATACATCGACAACGTACATTCCCAGCGAATGCAGGCTCCTTTTTTATTTTTTTATCCTCACTGAAGATATTTTTTCCATTGATTTTAGGGAGGAAGGGAGGGAGAAGAGAGAGAAAGAAACACTGATTGGTTGCCTCCTGCATGTGCCCTGGCTGGTGCTGGGGATTGAACCTGCAACCCACGTACATGTCCTGACTGGAAATCGAACCTGTGACCTTCCGGGGCACAGGACGACGCTCTAACCCAGGGGTGGGCAAACTTTCTGACTCGAGGGCCACAATGGGTTCTTAAACTGGACTCAGAAGAAGGAGCTGCGGCCGTGTTTCCCGACGCTGCCATGTTAACACTGCTGCTGGTGAAGGAGTGGAGGGGAGAGCAAGAGAACCCTCCGCTCTTTCGGCTCCGTGGGCCGGATAGAACAGCCGAATGGGCCGGATAGAACAGCCAAACGGGCCGTAGTTTGCCCACGGCTGCTCTAACCCACTGACCCACACCGGCCTGGACAGACTCCTCTTTTTATCTACTTAAAAGTTAGTCCATCCTGTCATAAAGCCTATTTGCCAGACCTCCTAACAAATAGACTGGTTGGAGATCAGCTCTTGCTGTGTCCCCTGGCTGCCACCTGTTTTGGGTGTTAGTGTGTCATGAAGTGCCTGAAAGCACGAGTCTGGACGAGCAGAGGGCTGAGTTGTCAGAAAATAGAATAATCTCCTTGGCCTAATCCAGGGTTGTGAGGTGGCTTGTATCATCAGGTCATCACAGGAAGGATGAGTAAGATTCATCATGAATCCATGAATCTCTGGAAACTAGAACACAGGCTAGTTTTAGGAGAAACCTCAAAGGCAGCATGCAGACTTTGGCTGCCACTGTCATGGCGCAGAGGCTGGATGTTTGTGGGGGAGACCATGCACGCAGTTCGGTTGGGCCAGCTTCTGCTGAGCACCTAGTTTGTTGCTGCTCTAGGGATAGCGGGAGTAAGACCCGGGCTTGGTCCTGAGAGTTCTCAGGCTGGGAGGGAAGGTGTCACAGGAGTGTCTGCTGATGGCAACGATGGCTCTGCATGGAGCACTGGCTGTGCATGGCCAAGCCTCGTGCCTGCCCGAGCTGTGTGGACTTGCATTACCTTGAATTCTCTTATCAATTCTCTAAGCTGAGTATTACTATCTCCGATGTACAGATGGGGAAGCAATTTTCCCCCTGCGTGTTACTGTACTGCCTCTGAGCACAGCATGTGAAAGGCCTTGCCAAGGATGTAGAGTGGGGAAGAATTCAGTTTGGCTCTGCTATGCACTGATGGGTTCTTGAGGAAATTTTGTAATTTATTTGAGCCACAGCTTCTCATCTATAAAACAGAACTAATAGTGTCTACTTAGACCTCACTGTCAGCATCCTCAGAAAGGCCTTACCTGAGCACTCTAAGGAATTTTATTCCCATCTTCCCAGTCACTTGGTCCCATCACCCTGTTTTAATTTTGTTGTCACCATCTGAAATGATCTTACTGTGTCATTTGTGTTCATGACCACTGTTGGCCTCCTACTTGAAGGCAGGGACTGGGCCTTTCACAGTTACCCTCCCATCCCCACACGTTGGTTCCTGGCACATAGTAGGCATTCAGTAAGTATTACGTGAATGGGAAGTGTGTAGGCCACAGTGAATGGAGATAGAAAGAAGAAAATGACCGTACTTATGTTCAATGTCCCTGTGAAAAATTCCAGAAAGAAAACAAATCATTGAAAGCTTTGAGCTATGCAGTACGGGTAGGTAGAATGATTCAGATTGGTGTTTTTCAGCCATTACTGAAGGCTTGAAAATAAATTCAGTTCCATCATCTAGTGCATGAGGGCCATCCTTGACCGGAGCTGACCTTCCCTAGCAGGAGAGCGAGGCCAACAGGACACAGACTCAGAAAATGGGATCTCGCGTGCATGGGCCTGGGGGAGATGCTGAGGGAAGCGTATAAGTGGAACTCGCCTGAGTAGGTGTCTGGCCTTCGATCTCCCAAGCGTGAGCCTCAGAGGGTGTGTTGTCTTGCTGTGTCTCCCAGAGGCCCCTGCGGCCACACTGACTTACTTACTGTTGCCCTGGTTGCAGGACTCGGAGAAGCGCACTCCGCTGCACGTGGCCGCGTTCCTGGGAGATGCCGAGATCATCGAGCTCCTGATTCTTTCAGGTAAATGCCAGCCGTGCGTACAGCCACCCGCAGATAACGCCAGCGACCCGCTAATTACGGTGACCACGTGAAGGCCCGCAAACAGTTTCTTTATGGGGCTCATGGAAGTTTATTTGATCAGCGATTTTGTCACTAAATGTGTAAAAAGTGCAAGAAGTTGTTCTTTTTAAAAATATATATATATTTTTATTGATTTCAGAGAGGTAGGGAGAAGGAGAGAGAGATAGAAACATCAATGATGAGAGAGAATCATTGATTGGCTGCCTCCTGCACACCTCCTTAATGGGGATTGAGCCTGAAACCTGGGCATGTGCCCTTGACTGTAATTGAACCCAGGACCCTTCAGTCCATAGGCTGACACTTTACCCACTGAGCCAAACCGGCTTGGGCGCAAGAAGTTGTTCTTATTGAAAAATAACGTCTCCAGCAAAACTTATGTGTGGTTTGAAAATCTGATTCCTGACTGTCTATCGGGCCCAGCATGGTAGGTGAGGCCAGCGTATTCGGATGTCTTTAGAAAAGAACAAACAGGCAGACTGGTTCCTTAGAGTCTATATGAACAGACACAAATGTGCGTATATGTACATAGATCTGAATTGCACTGCAAAACAATGCTTTGTTCTGTTTATGGACCTATGACTATGGCCGTGTAATAAAAATATAAAAACACGCAAGGAAAGGAAACATTAATTTCTGGACAGCGGTTACTTACTTCTGAGGAGGTAGGCTGAGTGAGGGGTGTTTTCAGGGAAGGGCGTAAAAGAGGCTACAACTCTGGAAAGTGTTCTATTTTCTAAAAATTGGAAGCAAATTTGGCAAATGTGTTAAATCTGATTTGCATGTGCACTGGTCTTTGCGATATTCTCTTTATTTTTCTATGGATTTTAAGTCTTTTGTCCGAGTTAAAAACGCCAAGGCTTTCATTTTTGGAAACCTGTTGCTTGGTACCTCCCACTGCAGGTTTCTGAAATCAGTATGTGCTCTCCGCCTTGAGCGTTTGCCAGACAAGGGCCGGGAATGAGTCTGAGCATGTGCACGCGTCCTGGGGTGGACCACGTGCAGATCCGCTGCCTTTCCTCCTCCCTTCTGTTGGGGAGGTTAAAACTTGGACTATGCAAAGGCCTGCACTGAGGCTCAGCCTTTGTTTGTTGTAGCAAAGGGAACTGTAGAACCCAAAGTGAGCTGCGCACGGTGGGAGCTGATGCAGGTATTTAAGCAGATGTGGAGGGCATTGTGGGAAGGAAACAGAATTGTGCTGGGATCCCTGGCCGGTTTTGCTCAGTGGTTAGAGCGTCGGCCTGTGGACTGAAGGGTGCAGGTTAGATTCCAGCCAAGGGCACTTACCTTGGTTGCAGGCTCCATCTCCAGCCCTGGTAGAGGCACATGTGGGAGGCAACCAATTGATGTGTCTCTGTCACATCAATGTGCCTCTCTCTCTCTCTCTCTCTCTCTCACTTTCCTTCACCCTTCCTTCCACTCTTTCTAAAAATCATTGGAAAAAATACCCTTGGGTGAGGATTAATAGACAACCCAACAAAAACAACAATTGTGCTGGGACACACAAGGAAGGTTACATTGGCTCCTTGTGCTGTGTCCCCTTCGAGGTGGGCTTTCCAGGACACAAGTGCTCTGTGCCTTAGACCTGCGGCCTGCGCTCCTGGCCATTGCCTGGCGCTTGGTGGGAGTCTGTGTGGCGTCCTTGTGTTCCTGAGAGCAGGCCTCCTCTGACGGTTCTAAGATGTTCCAGGGCCGGAGGCCAAACAAACACGCATTGTTCAGTGTTGGCGCGGACCAAGGCTCAGAGCCAGCGCCCACCTGGCCGGCTGCCCCGGCGATAGAGACTTGGCCCATGGAAAATTGTAGGCGGAAACCGGTGGGGTGTAAAGTAAAGAACTTTGTGGTATGACACCTAATGGTCCAGACTGGCTGTCCTCACCACCCAAATGTATGAAGAGACACCTCAGAGTCTCAGAAAGATACTAGGTTCATGAATGTGCGAATTCAGAACTTTGTCTTGGACCCCAAGCTTGGTTTTTGTCTGTTTTCCACACCTGAAAGAGGTTTTATTTCTGCAGCATGAAGCTGACCCTCTGTTTTCCTTAGGTGCCTCTACATGGCATAGAGTCCACCAGCCGCTCTTTTTTTAAAATATGTTTTTATTGATTTCAGAGAGGAAGGGAGAGGGAGAGATAGAAACATCAGTGATGAGAGAGAATCATTGATCAGTTGCCTCCTGCATGCCCCACGCTGGGGATCAAGCCCGAAACCCAGGCATGTGCCCTTGACCGGAATCAAACCCAGGACTCTTCAGTCCTCAGGCTGACGCTCTACCCACTGAGCCAAACCAGCTCAGGTTAGGGCCAGCCACTCTTAAATGTGGCTCACTCAGTGCAGCCTGGAGAATATATCTTGTTCTGTACACCTCTTTGTCTTGGGATTCTGAGCTGTTAACCTCTCCAGTATAATTTTGGAGCACATGACATGGAATTTCTCCTCCCCCATTAAGTTATAAAGATTTAGGGTCCGAGAGAGCATTGGGAAGGTTCTTGATAAATTTTACTCAACTGTGGAAGCTTTAGGTAAACGCTTGGAATTCACATGGCTTTAGTTTTCCCTTAGGAGTCCCGTATCCAGTTGTATATTATGTTCCTGAAGAAATGGCACTGTAAGAGCAGGACGATTTCATCTCTGAGCTTTCATCTGGCAGCTGACCCTTTAGGGCAGCGGTTCTCAACCTGTGGGTCGCGACCCCTTTGGCGGTCGAACGACCCTTTCACAGGGGTCGCCTAAGACCATCCTGCATATCAGATATTTACATGACGATTCATCACAGTAGCAACATCACAGTTATGAAGTAGCAACGAAAATAATTTTATGGTTAGGTCACAGCATGAGGAACTGTATTTAAAGGGCCAGAAGGTTGAGAACCACTGCTTTAGGGAATCCATCCAAACTCTTCTCCAACTTCATAACGAATGAGGTGTTAATGATTCCCATGTTGGACAAATAATTTGGCTTTGCTAGAATAGCCATTACAGCCGTGTTCTCTATTGTATTAACTGCAGAGTGTAGTGTAACCCAACCCCATTAATCCCTCCCGGCATTGTCTCCTGTTAGCCAGGCGGATGGAGCCCCGAGGCCCCTGAGCAGAGAGGAATAGGCCTTGGGAAATCCCGCTTCCTGTAGCCGCCTGAGCGGATTCTGGCGTTACCTCCCCACCTGACACCAGCTTCTGTTTGGGAGCTGGCCTTGTCAGGCTCAAGTCAGAGAGAAGGCCAAGAGCTTGCTGTGGCCCAGAGCTGCATGCATGAGACCAACGTGAACCAGTGAGTGGATGAGAGTTAAGGGACAAGGTTGCGGTGCAGGATGCGGAGCGCACGGGAACACGACCCCAGTGACAGCAGCTGTAGAGAAGCTGGGATGCACACGGGTTAGCGCCCGGGGCTGGAGGAAGAACATTGAATCCTCACCCTCTGGCATGGGATATGTGAGGTATAAGTACGAATTCAAAATAGTGAGTTCATTTGCATGTAGGCCACCCAACAAGGGGTGTTCCGGTAAAGGGATTTCCTGTGATCTTTCAAAATGTGATCTCTACTCCCCACGCAAATTGTCTCCTGAGCCCCGCAGGCCATTGTTCTGATGCTCTTATGCATAACAAATACTCATCCCTTAAGGTTGGACTTGGTTTTTGTGTGTGTGATTTTCCACCCCCAAGAGGTGAAGGTGATTAAACCAGGCAGTGCTGGTTTTGCCCCCAGAGGTGGTGTGATTATCAGGGGATGAGCCATTTCTGGTGGGCATGGCAACGGCAAGTCCAAGGGGAGTGCTGAAGGTGCTCTGAGCGGTTGCCACGTCCGAGGGATTATCATACACGCTTCCAAAGTCATTGCTTTGAAGGACACTGTTCCTGGGCTGTAATAAGATTTGGTCTCTGCGTGAAAAAAATCAATAGCGAGCCCATTTCATTATGTCCTATCATGTTGCATGTGATTTCTGGTCTATACTTGTTTGTTTCTGCAATTAAAAGCCAAACTGGGCATACATCAGCCTTAAGAATCAGTTATCCTCTTTGACCTCTAAACGTTTTCAGTCCCTCGTGTACCTTTGGTCTTTGTTCTACTCTTTCCTAGACGACAGGGCTAAGAGAACAGACATGTCGCCTCTGGAAAAGACGCTCAGAGCTCCCGTTACTCCTGCTCTCTGTGAACATACAACCAGGTGGTAATAGGGGCGAGACGAAAAGCACACTTAACTCGCAATCAGGGTTCGTGCCTGACAACTGTGAGCTGGGTCTCTGTTTCTGAAGAATCAGGAGAGCCTACCACTTAGAGAATAATCACTCAAGCTTCAGATGTCCTTGGGCACACCGCATCTGCCTTTAAATCACACGGCATGCAGGCCCGTGTCCTTCGGTGCACCATGGCGCCTGACGGGCAGGTAAATAACAGGGAGCGTCCTTTAGAAAAACCAGTTATAAATACTCAACCATCTAGTCTCCCGCTGACATGTAAACAAGGCTGGATGTGCTCCGGAAAGAGGAAGCCAGTGGCAGGGATGACACTGATGAAATACAGCCTGGTCCCCGTTCAGATAACTCTGCTTTTGTCTTACTAATTCCGTTGCTGGGGAGGGGAGCTTTCCTGAAGGACGAGTGGAGGGACAGGAGACTCAGCGGTGACCATGAGAAGCCCCTTCCCAGCTCTGTGATGAGCTTTCAGTACCTGGAGCCACAGGGAAGCAATGCCGGGGTGTGTTACACATGACGGGGTGAGGGGGGGTTGCTTTATGAGCTCAGCCAGCTCATTTTTCTCCTTGAGAGAATTTTAATATTAAAAGCCACACTGGGATCTACATACAACTGAAAGCTTTCAGAATACATAAATAAAAATTATCATAACAACACAATGCAAATGTCTATAAATTATAAGGACAAACAAGAATAGAAGAATAAGGGAAACAGGCAAAGCATCCGAACAGGCAGTTCTCGGAGAATGAATGATGAGTGGGCAGGAGACAAGCGTTAGCAGATACCCAGCCGCACTATTAAACAGGAAAGCACCGCAACGAGACGCCGTTTCCCTCTCATCGGATTTGCAATATTTTCAATGGTTATAACTCCAAGTTATCTCCTTTAGGAACATGATATAGAGCCTTCTAGTGCCGCACACACAGCCAGAGCAGCTTGTATGTCAGGGGGGTGGGGAGGGAGGGAGGGAGGGAGGAGAGGGAAGGAGGAGAAGGGGGCAGGGAGAAGGAAGAGAGGGAGGTTGAAGGTAAAATTCTGACATGCGGTGGCCAAGCAGGTGGACTCAGGTCTGGGCATGGGCTACAGCAGGCACCCTGCCCTCAGGAGTGTCCTGGTTGGCTGGCTGGTGATGGAGCTACGGGGGATGAGCTGCTTAGGTTCACAAAGTGGCGATGACAGGATGGCATTTGGAGTCCACGGAAGGTTCCCGGAGACAGAGCGCCGCCCTCTGCGTGGGCGTGGCTTCCCCATCGCAGCGGAGGGGGCGGGGGTGGGGGCTGCATTTGGGACCAGCACAGCGGCTGTGGAGAGAGGAGAGCATGAGAGGAACATTAAGACGCCCGCATGGAACACATCCTCACCTGGAAAGTTCCTTTTCAGTCAGACTGTTCCACCAGCAGCCTCTTGCTGTGTACTATCCTTATTCCCTGGCCTGAGCCGTAGGAAAATCCTGAAGGATGCTGGGTGGCAGGACCACTTTATATGGAAAGAGTGGGCCTGTCATTTTTTAGACATATACTTCTTCTTCTTCTTAAAACATATATTTTTATTGATTTCAGAGAGGAAGAGAGAGGGAGAGAGAGAGAGAAAAAACATCAATGATGAGAGAGTCATTGATCGGCTGCGTCCTGCACGGCCCCACTGGGGATCGAGCCCTCAACCCTGGCATGTGCCCTTGACCAGAATCGAACCCGGGACCCTGCAGTCCACAGGTCGATGCTCTATCCACTGAGCCAAACCAGCGAGGGCGGACGTGTCATTTTTTAATCAAGGGCCACTGACCAAGAATAAAATAGTGTAAAAAAAGCAAGTTAACACCCCACCCTCCATTTTATTAAGAAACATTAAACTTCAAATGTGTTAGCTCTCTTAAAGACATTGTATATTTCTAACATACTGAAAAATGTGGAAAAAATATAATTAATACCATGTACACCAAGATTTAGGAAGTCAAAGTTGCCATATTTGCATCGTATCCTTTCTTAAAGGGAATAAAACGTTGACGACACAGTTGCAGCCCGTTGGCTGTGCTTGCTCGTCCTTTTCCCCGCCCTCCTCCCCAGAGCACCCACTCTAGAGAATGCTGGTTTCTTTAGCCGTAGTTGCTACTTTTACTTCCTGTCTGTGCATCTGTAGACAACATACAGCATTATTTTTGTCAATTTAAAAACTGTATGTGACTGGTATTATGCCATAGGTATTATTCTGCAACTTCATTTGTTCAGTGTTACCCGGTGGAACCAAACTGCTTGCCAAAGGGGCTACACCCGTCCGCACTCGCACCCTCTGTACGTAGCCTTCCTGCTGCTCCCCACTCTTGCTAACTCAGCGTTGTCAGACTGTGTCATTTTCACCAATTCGATGGGTGTGACGTGGTACGCCAATGTTGCTGTCATTTGCCTCTCCCTAATACAGTTTTTTTCAACTTCCTGAATTATTTTATTTTGCAACTAGTGAATTTTGTCATTCAAAACAGTCAACTCAGTTTTTTCTTCAATTGCTATTTATATTCAATATTATTCTGTATTAGCTTCGGCTGTACAGCGTAGTGGTTCAAGAATCATATTCTTTACAAAGTGGTCCCCCCGATATTTAAAGTGGGAGAGAGAGGGAGAAACACCACTGAGCCACACCGGCCGGGCCACAAGTATTCCTTCAAAGCTCTCCAGGCCTGGCTGGCGTGGCTCAGTAGCTGAGTGTCAACCTATGAACCAGGAGGTCACGGTTTGATTCCTGGTCAGGGCACATGACAGGGTTGTGGGCTTCATCCCCAGTGTGGGGCGTGCAGGAGGCAGCCGATCAATGATCCTCTCTCATCACTGATGTTTCTGTCTCTCTCTCTCTCTCTCCCTTCCTCTCTGAAATCAATAAAAATATATTTAAAAAGTTTTTAAAGTATACATGTACCTGGCCCCATCTCAAACCAATAAAATTAGTCTGGGGAGTGGGAGGACAGGAGTCTGTCTCTTGGTTTTAGGGATTATTATGTTCTTGTTTTCTATCATTAATATCGTTAATGGTATTTGTACTTCCGTTAAACAGAAAAAGATTGTGTACGGTCTATGATTTGTTATTTCCTTTTAGCTGGTATCTTAAACTAAATTTCTAGCTCATCATCTCCTGGTGCCTTTTAAAAAAAACACACACACGTAAAAAAAACAAGGTTCTATTTTTTAAGCTGTCAGCTGGCCTTGGCCTCACAGGGATGAGCCAGCCCTGCTTCCACTTGCCTCCTGTCCCAGAGGCACCGCCCCACCTCCCCTCCTCTGCCTGCCTTGCTCGCTTCCTCACTCTTCTTCCTCACCAACTTCCTTCCTTGTTGTCCTAAAGTCAAAAGAGTCTCATCTTACTGCATCGCAGACGATGACATTTTCTCTTGCTCCTCCTCTTTAGTAACCCTTTTAACAAAACTTTCCATCTCCGACCAGAAGACTGGTCAAAACCCTGAAGCCCCCTGAAAAGGGAGCTCAGATGGGGTTGTTTTATTTTATAATTTTCTTTTAAAAATATTTTTTTGTTTTGTTATTGATTTCAGAGAGGAAAAGAGGGAGAGAAAGATTAATGATGAGACAGAATCATTGATCGGCTGCCTCCTGCACGCCCCCGACTGGAGATCGAGCCCACAACCTGGGCACGTGCTCTGACCGGGAATCGAACCGAGGCTCCTGGTTCATAGCTCAACACTCAACCACTGAGCCACGCAGAGCAGGCAGATGGGGTGTTTTACCAGGTCAGCTGTAGACCTGGAGGAAGCCTGTCTGTCCCCCCACAATGTGAGGGAGCCATGCGCAGCCCACACAGGCTTCCTGTTGGTCTGCCCCAGCGCTCCATGGAGGCTGCCTTATTCCCACCGAAATGCCTGGCTAGTCCCAGAGACAGAATGGGGACTCCTGGATAAAGGAGATTTCTGCTGATCCTCTCAGCCCAGACGAAATCCCTTCAGAACTCAACTTTGCCCGACGTGTTTGGAAGCTGACTGGCCCCTCGTGCACACTAGTTGGAAGGCTCCTTGTCGTTGACCGTTTGCCAAGAGAGTGTTGTGTGCCCTGTGAGATAAATATACTTAATGACTAAATAGAAAATACTTTATCTGGTTATGTATTTTATATCCAGGAATATACATTCTATTCAGGAACACACACACACACACACACACACACACACACACACACACACACACTGGAAAAGTCCTTCATTCCTCAGAACACACATGTCCACAGCCCTGGAGAACCTGTCTTCTCACCACTGTATCTCCTGCCCAATGAGGTGCCGTATTTCCCACCGAGTCTTTACCACTTCTCCGACATTCTCAGTTCTTGATCTCGCTCCTCAGCAGCCCTGGGGGTCTCCTCCTGTGCAGTTGCCAGAAAGCACGGGGCTGATACAGGGGAAAACAAAACGCAGCTTGGTGATTGTGCCGGGCAAATGAGAGCGCAAGATACAGCCTCTGACATGACCTCAGGCCCCCATCCTCGCCCCCACTCCCACCCCCTGCTGCATCATGCCTCTAACCTGTGCTGTTTGGTTCCAGGAGCTCGTGTGAATGCCAAGGACAACATGTGGCTGACCCCGCTGCACCGAGCCGTGGCCTCCAGGAGTGAGGTGAGTGGCTGCCTGGTGCCATCTACCACCTTCAGTCCCTGGAGAGAGAAACATTCTCTGTTGAAGTAGGGATTCTCACTGATGAGCTAAAGGCTTTTGCTTCTCATGCAAGAGGGTTACTTACCAGCAATGAACAGCTGTTGATTTGAGTGCCAGCTGCATGGCAGGCACAAGGCTGGAGGTGACTGGGGTGGTCCGGGGCGGGCCCCATGGTCCTTGACTTCAGGGAGCTCTCAGTCTGGACGGGGAGGCACGCAGGTAAGTGGATCAGTATGACATCAGAACCGAATGGAGGAGGAAGCAAAGAACTGCTTGAATAGAGAACGTCTTCCAAGAAGACACATGTCCACAGCCCTGGAGAACCTGTCTTCTCACTACTGTGTCTCCTGCCCAATGAGGTGCCATATTTCCAACCCAGTCTTTACCACTTCTCCGACATTCTGCAAAGCAACAGGTTACGCAAAGAAAATATGTATTTGAGTGTGTTTGTGTCGGGGGGGCGGGGGGCTATATTCTTAAATAGGCAATACTTCTAAAAATATTTTAGCACAGATCATTTTGGTCTGTTTTTGTAAATAAAGTTTTATTGAAACAGCCTCATTCCCTTGAGTTGGGAGTGTCCCTACTCATCCTCGAAGGACTGGCTCAGCCAGGCATCTCTTCTTGGAAGACGTTCTCTATTCAAGCAGTTCTTTGCTTCCTCCTCCATTCGGTTCTGATGCCATACTGATCCACTTACCTGCGTGCCTCCCCGTCCAGACTGAGAGCTCCCTGAAGTCAAGGACCATGGGGCCCGCCCCGGGCCACCCCAGTCACCCCCAGCCCTGTGCAATGTGAAATGCATTTCTAAGTTTTTCTTTAAAAGACGTACCTCTTGAAGATAATATCTCATTCCCCTAGTCTTACTCAAAAAACAAACATATTTTGTGACTTTTAGAAAACAAATTCCTATTGATTTCACTGGTCTTATCTCCAAAAAGTATGAATTTGTGAAATGTTCTTGTCTATTTTGTTTTGTCAGTCTATCCTCAATTTACATACTACTTAACGCAGAGCAAGAATTAGTACCAGTGCAATAAAATAACGCACAAGGCAAAGGTATTCAAGTGACAGTAGGTCTTGTTATTTTGCTCTGAATGTGTGAAAAGCATCCTTTACCAGCAGTTTTTACACCAGTTCTTGGAGATGATTATCTTCAATCTTTTTGGCCATATATCTGCAAAACTTTCCCAGCATGCATCTTCAAAATGTGCATCTCACTTATTTATAAATTATATACTGAACTGCTGTCGTATTTCCAGGCACCATAGACTCAGGGGGAGGCTCCTCATTTATCAGATCTCCCATGACCCAGGGAGATAATAGGCTTCTGAAGGCTTTCCTGTTTTGGCCAAGCTCCTGTCAGATCTGATGAAATCTGTCATTACTTTACCTTGTAATGTAGGCGATAGGAAGCTTTACCCGGAGTGGAAGTGTCAGCTCCGTAGCTTCCACATTGTTCATGCGGGTTCCTTGCATATACCTGGCTTCGTTTAGGATGCTCTTCGTTTAAGGGCACATCTCACAACCTGTAAATGGACGTGGCAGGCCCTTCTCTGTGCCTTTGGGTGCACTCCCAGCGAATGAAAGGAGCCGGGGCCACCCCACCCCCTCAGGACTGTGGAAGCCCCCCTCTTCCCTGAGGGCATCCCCAATACTGTGAGGCCAGATCTTCTGCAGAGCTGACTGAGGGCACAGCGCCAACCCAGAAGTTAAATGCCAGCTGAAATGCTTTCCTTTTTAAAGAAAAATACAAGTGAAGGTTCCAATATTTTCTTCCCACATCACAACGAATTAGTTGCCTGTGCGTCTACTTAAACCTCCATATTTATGAGAACAAAGTTGATTAAAAAAAAATACCATTTTTTAAATTTAAATTTTAATGCTTTATTGTGATTGAGCTTCTCTTTTGCTTATTTTTTGTGCACTCGGCTAGTTTTTAGGATAGAACCTACCGGGGCACTATTTCTCTCAACCCTCCATAGTTCTAGCCATGTTTCGCACAGCACGGTGTGTGAGCACAATGGGTACGCATGTTTTGCGCTGAAATGGGCCCAAGGACTATTTAGCAATCATTATTTTATTGTCTGCCCTGCTGAGGATGGGTGGCAGATATATTTCCTCCCCTTTTTGGTAATCTTAACAAAGTGCTTGCTTGGGCCTGTCAGCTTATTGCCCTTTATTTATAGCATCTAAGTGGAGTTACACCACTTCTTTAAACTAGATTCTCCAATCTGCAAAGTTAGTTTCTTTTACCAGCTCTCATTCTACTCAGTTAGCCATTCCCTTCCACATGTACTGATTTATGGAACATTCTTTTTATTTTATCATTTATGTCCCTGATGAAAGTATTCATCTTGAGAGTTCGAATTGTCTTCTATCGGGGGCACTTTTATATACTTGCATGATAACGTAGCCCGCTCACTCCAGGCCTGTGGGGATCAGGGTGGGCAGAGGTGAGCCCTTGGCCCATGAAGGTGGCAGGAGTATGGGACTGATGGCTTTCACTGGCTCATGGGTGACAGATTGATAAGATGTCCATACAGGAGCTCCATTAACTGCCCCAAAGATGTCTCTGGAAATAAAGAGAAGCAACCACAGCCCATCGCCTTCCCAGAGAAGCTGCATCATTCACTTGATTCAGCAGAGGCGTCGCAGTCCTGGCTGCGTAACCAGGTCCCCAGGGAGGTCACAGAGAGCCCGAGGCCGGCTAGACCCTCGGGGTGGGACCAGGCATCTATTTTTAAGGCCTCCCCAGGCGGTTTCATGCACAACAAGGTAGAGGTGTAGTTCAAGGGGCAAACAAGCTGACGAGGTCAATAGAAGGAAAGTGAAAAGTGGGAGGCGCAGGAAAGGTGAAGGGACTCAATAGTAGAAGAGAAACCACCCCTTTGTAACATGGAAGAGGCTGGAAAAACACTTGTGTAGCTTCAGGTTGAGATGGTAACAGACATCCTCTTTGCTTCACTGCTTATCAGTCACAGAGTGGGGGTTACGATGTTGGCCGAGAGCACTGAAGATTTACAAATCGATCCAAGAATGTCTGAAGGGCTTGGAGGCCTTGGGCTTTGGAAGGGGGAGACTGATCGACAAACACCTCTAACCTCAGATGATCTTGGAGGGCCTTTTGGCCGAAGGATATTTCGCCCCGATGTGCACACTTGCACATGCGTGCCCTCATTTGGCCAAAAACACCTGCTACCTTATAAGGAAACCTTATACTCAGAAGGTTTATTTGGTGTTGGAGCTGTGCCAGGGCCCTTGGCTAACAGACGTACAGGGAGTCTGTTTTGATCTGCTCCACTCTGGATCTTTATCTCGCATTCGCTTTGCTTGTCACAGGAGAACATCCCTGTGAAGCCAGCCGCGAGGGCAGGAGCCACCCCTCTCTGTAGCTTGGGGTCTGGTGAAACCGCTCACACCCAAGGAGTATTGATCGGGCATCTGTCCGTGACCCCTGCGCACTCTGCTTTGCTTGTAGGAGGCAGTGCAAGTATTGATTAAGCACTCGGCTGATGTCAACGCGAGGGACAAGAACTGGCAGACCCCGCTGCACGTCGCCGCCGCCAACAAGGCCGTGAGGTGTGCAGAAGTGATCATTCCCCTGCTGAGCAGCGTCAACGTCTCCGACCGCGGCGGCCGCACGGCCCTGCACCACGCCGCTCTCAACGGCCACGTGGAGGTGGGCGTCCTCACCCCTGGGAGCAAGGGTCCTCCCTCCCGCTCTCTCAGCCCGGATGGAACCATCTGCCACCTGTGTCCTCTCTCTCTCTTCACAGTGGAACCTAATATTACTGCTGAGACCTTTACGGAATGTGGTCATAATATTTGTACACAAAACCACAGGCATTTATATCCATTTTTATTTACCTATTTTTAAGTATATTTTTATTGATTTCAGAGAGGAAGGGAGAGAGATAGAAACATCAATGATAAGAGAGAATCATTGATCGGCTGCCTCCTGCATGCCCCACACTGGGGATCGAGCATGTGTCTTGACTGGGAATGGAACTGTGACGTCCTGGTTCATAGGTCGACGCTCAACCACTGAGGCATGCTGGCCAGGCTATATCCATTTTTAAATTTGGAGCCACAGCGAATTGAAAAAGTAGCCATTACCTGAGTTTTTTTCTCCTGATACACATGCTGCCGGGTTTGAACTCTGCTTGAACTCTGATCTCTGACCGGCCTGGCCTTCCACTTGGCGCAGCTCCCCTGCAGGCGGCGAGGGGCCCTCCCCCGTCCACAGTGCACACAGGACCTTACTCTTGGCTTATCTTGCAGATGGTCAACCTACTCCTGGCCAAAGGGGCAAACATCAACGCCTTTGACAAGAAGGACCGGCGGGCCCTGCACTGGGCAGCGTACATGGGTAAGTGGTCCATGGATGGAAGGCAAGTGCATGTGACCTTCATGAGGGAAGCCAGGGGTCTCTCACTGACCACACAGGTTCTTTCTCGGGCAAGTCTGACCTCTTTTTCTGCTTGGGATTCAGCTGGATTGAGATTTGGTCTGTTTTCCTGGCAGGCGTCGAACACTCTAGTTGGGCAGTTGCTTTGCCAGAGATTTATTTCTCCCACAGGGAGGAGGCATGCATCATAGCCTGGACCCCACTGAGTGCGCTTCAATCTGGATTGGAAAGCTGCACAAATGGTGCTTCTTTTAACTTGTTGTGGAAGCAAGATAAGGTGTTTACAGAGAAAGCGGCCTGGCTAGCAAAGCAAGGATGTAAATGCCATTTGTCTTTTTATTTATAAATATTTTTGAAAGAACCAGAAAGGAAGGATGGATAGACACCCCCGCCCCCCCCCCCCCCCCCCCGCCCCGGCTGCTGTGTAGGTTGAGGTGGCCGGAGTCACCGTGGATTGTCCTGCTTCTCCATGTCCCGCAAAGCTGGGGCTTGTAGTCCTCGCTTCTGCCAGCTCGGCCGGGGAGGTGGGGGGGAGAAGGTACATTTCTCTGTTTTTCTTTTTCACTTCTGTTGGCCCAAATACCACTGACAAAAGATAGACCAAGAATAGAGTTTATTCTCGGTGTGGTCCTGTGGGAAACGGAGGTCCTTCCCTTGTGTTTCTGATTGGAGAACATCCTGCAATTAGAAAGCAGACAAGATTCTACTGGCACCAAGTTCTAACCCACTTGAAGGCCCACTCCCAGGAGATGATGTTGGTAAATTATGGGAGATCTACACAATGGACACTGCGCAGTAACGGCAGTGATGATGTTGTTGTATTTATTAACATAGGAGGGTCCTCTGATGTGCCAACTGAAAACAGATCACAACACAGTGTGAATACTATGACCCCATTAAAAAAATCTATACAACAAAAACAACCTGGTGTATGATGCACTGAAATGTTCGTTGATCATCTCCAGGGATTAGTGATTGTAGGTGATTTTGGTTTCCTTTTAATACTGCTTGGCTTTTCTGAATCTTCTTAAGCATACAGGCCTTTTATCTCATAAAAAAAACAGCAACATTAATTGTGGGGAGAAAAGATGCCGGGGTCCAACCCCAGCAGGTCCAGGGGTTCCCAAAGGCGTAGACGGAGTCGGCGAAGAAGGACACAGAGACAGTGTTCAGTTGATCAGCAGCCTAGCCAGGATCTCCAGCCAAGTTCTGGTCTGGATCTCCAGAGAGGTTCTGCTTAGGATCTCCATCCAGGTTCTGTGTCCATGTTCTCTTGCTAGGTTCTCCAGGTTCTCCAGCCAGGTTCTGTAGCCATGTTCCCTCGCTAGGTTCTCCAGGCAGGTTCAGTAGCCATGTTCCCTCGCTAGGTTCTCCAGCCAGGTTCTGTCCAGGTTCTCCAGCCAGGTTCAGTCACCAGGTTCTAGTCAGGTTCTCTTGCCCATTTCTGTAGTCAGGTTCAGTTCAGGATCTTTTGCCATGTTCTCTCGCTAGGTTCTGTCTCTAGGTTCTGAGGCCAGTTTCTGTCCAGGATCTTTTGCCATGTTCTCTCCAGCGAAGTTCTTCTGTCTCTAGAGAACGTTCTGTGCCTAGGTTCTGTCTCTCTTGGTTCCGTATTCTAAGTTCTGTCTCTAGCTGTCTTATTACATCTGTATTTATACCAGTTGATTCAATCCTATCAATCTCTATTACAAAGGTTAGGGCGTTTCTTATCTTCATTCCAGGGAGTAAAGATTATGTAGCTTAAGCATGATTGTTCGTAGTTAAAGTGATTAATTACCCACCTGGCACTAGTTAAGAGGTTTTATTCCCTCCCTAACTTCAGGGGAAAATCCCTACCTGGGGAAACAACCTTTCTCAGAGACCTTGGTTAAAACACATAGTGCCAAGAAGGTAAGCAAACATATTAAGAACCGTATGCCATATGCCAGGTCCCTTGAAACAGCAAGCATGGAAAGGCTCCCAGCAAAAAGAAGGTGGGTTGGAGCAGGGATGAAATAAAGGATGTGCTCTTGGGTCTGAATGAATCTCTGGGCTTGGACACCAGAATCCTGACTTTGTGAGCCTATCATGTGCAGATAAGGTGAGCTGAGTTGGCTGAGCGGATTGGATGGCCCTGTGGGGCTGGAGCCGGTGGGCATTTGCCAGGCCGACCTTTAGGCAGAGCACACAGTAGGCTGGTGTGGGATGGCACTCAGACACCCGGGGCTTCCAGTCTGTTCCTTGCTGATGTGCAGCTAGAGCATGTGTGTAGAATTGCTTTGAAGAAGTAAAGTCGTCATTATGTGTGTCATCAGGATTCAAATAGGAAAATACATAGTTGATGATCTGTAGGAAATAAAGGACAAACCAGGACGAAAGACAGCACCACTAGTCTTTCTATATACAACTCCTGGGGAAAAAGAGTCAAATATTAATAAAACAAGCCATGACCAAACTCACTCACTCTCTCTCTCTCTCTCTCTCTCTCTCTCTCTCTCTCTCTCTCTCTCTCTCTCTCTCTCTCTCTCTCTCTCTCTCTCTCACACACACACACACACATCTCTTTCTCTGCCACACTCAGGCACACACCTCTCTCTCTCATACACCCCTCTCTTTTCACACACACACACACACACACACACACACACACACACACACACACATTTTAGATAAGACAGTACTCATCTACCCTTCAGTTATCAACCATGTTTACAGCGATGACCCCGAAACATCGAACCATCTTCAGCCACAAAATAAAGGTCAAAAGCATTTAACATATTATATGTAGTGACATAGGGAACAGAGAGAAATATTCTAGATAATATGCCAACAGGGGTTAAAACTAGGATTTTCTGTTTAGCCAATAATTCACGAGAATACTTTTAAGTGAAACCATATGAAATTGCCATTTCTGTGCCACCCCCAAACACACACACACACACACACACACACACACACACACACACACAAATGGTCAAACAGCAGCAATTTCATATAATTTAAAAGTTAATCTGGAGTCATCCTGATTAATTGATTTTTTTCTTTCATTAATTTTTTTTCAAACCAAATTGCCACTGTTGGGCCTTTCAGTGAGGCATGGCAATTGGTTTCAAAAGCATTGCTTTCATTTTAACATAATGCTTGAAGGTTGTGGTACTAACACGTTATAGGACCTTGTTCTTACTCAGTATTTATTGACGAACAGGCATCTCTCCTACTAGATCTTGCAGAAAAGCCTCCCGTAGGAATCATCTGTTTCTCCCTACCCCCCACCTACATAAAGCCGGACACATATAACAGGTGGCGCGGTCCATTTTTGCTAATTTTTTGCGCAAATGGCAGCGTTCAGTAAAATTACGATAACTTTAGTTTACGTATTTATACGTTACCCGCATTCTACCACTAGTCTATAAAAAACGTATTAATACGTGTCCCGTGCTCTACTACACTGGTAGAACGTATAAATACGTAAAACGTGTAAACACGTTTCCCGCGTACAATGTGTTAAGTATTTCCATGAACCAGCTTTTTATAAAGAGCTCAGCCAAATGCTGATGGCGATGAGAGCTCACAGGGGTCACTGAGGTGGCACGAGTCCTCAAGTCGTCCCGTAAAGCTTAACCATGTCTCTGCTGCTTGCTCTGTGAAGGCCACCTGGACGTGGTGGCGCTGCTCATGGACCACGGCGCCGAAGCGACCTGCAAGGACAAGAAGGGCTACACCCCCCTGCACGCCGCAGCCTCCAACGGACAGATCAACGTTGTCAAACATCTCCTCAACCTGGGGGTGGAGGTGAGCCACCACCATGCACCACCCTGCGTGTATTTGGGGGCTTTCTGTTGTTCTGAAGTGATTTGTGGGTTTTCTTTTGTTCTGAAATTAAACTCTGCTTGCATTTTATTTTTATTTATTCATTTATGAGAGAGAGAAAGGAAAGTGGGAGGAGGGGCTGGAGAAGGAAGGAGAAGGAGAGAGAGAAAAACATCGAAACATTGATTGGTTATTCTACCCATTTATCTATGCACTAGAGGCCCAGTGCATGAAATTCGTGCACGGGGGGGGGGGGGATGCTGGAGAACCCCTCAGCCTGGATTACAAGAGGGCACAGGCCTGGATGCGGGAGGTTGGCCAGCTGGGGAGGGACTGTGGGAGGGCTCCAGAGTGTGTCCGGCCCGTCTCGCTCAGTCCTGATCAGCCAGACCCCAGCAGCAAGCTAATCTACTGGTCAGAGCATCTTCCTCCTGGTGGTCACATCAGCACACATCATAGCAACTGGTCAAACGGTCGACTGTCTGCCCCCTGGTGGTCAGTGCATGTCATAGTGAGCGGTTGAGTGACTTTAGCATATCATTCGCATATTACGCTTTGGTTGGTTGAATGGCCTACCAGATGACCGGACACTTAGCATATTAGGCTTTTATTATTTAGGATTGGTTAATCCTTGTATGTGCCCTGACGGGGGATGGAACCCACAACTTTGGCGTATCAGGAAAATGCTCTAATCAACTGAGCTACCCGTCCAGGACTAAATCCTGTTTCCATTTTAATTCAAGAGGAAAAATACCCTTCTTACTAGTACCCTGTCTTTGAGTTTCAATGGGCAACTAACTGATGGAGGGCAATGGGGACATCTAATTACCAGAAAACCAGAAACAGACTAACTTTCTGTGTCACAATAGATAGTGAAATAGTTTTATATGTATAAAATACACATTAACCACTCAATTTTAAAGACTGGCTAGGACTCCCCATCCCACCTTCGGAATCTGGCCTTCTACCTGGTGGCTTACGAGCAGAAATGAGGGAGTGGCAGGGACAGCAGCAGAAGGGTTCAGTGCTGAGCTGAAGAGGTCAGCCCAGCCCCTGCAGGTAGCAGAGCAGGGAAGGAAAACCAAGTTGCAAAACTGAGACCCTGAGGGTGAAACCCAGCAATCGGGGCAGGAAGACAGAGCCATGGACTTACCCAGGCCAGCTTCATGGTCCTGCTATAGGATATGGCCTTGTGAGGTGTTAGGCGGCAGCCACACCCAGGGTGGCTTCTGAGCCCGACTTCTGAGCTCCAGCTCCACAGCACCTTCCTGTGCACCTTCCACCCTTTGCTTCAGGTTCACTGTGAGTTTCAGACTTTTTTCTTCTTCTTTTTAAAAATACTATTATTGATTTCAGAGAGGAAGGAGAGGGAGAGAGAGAGAGATAGAAACATCAGTGATGAGAGAGAATCATTGATTAGCTACCTTCTACACACCCCACATTAGTGATCGAACCCACAACCCGGGCATGTGCCCTGACTGGGAATCGAACCGTGACCTTCTTGGTTCATAGGTTGACTCTCAACCACTGAGCCACGCCAGCCAGCCAGGCTTCTTTCTCACTCCCCTGATTCACTTCTCCTCTGGCATTCCAGGCAGCTTTGCCCTTCACTTGTTAATCCCTTCCATAGCCCACAACTGTCTGTCCTCAAGTTGAAACCTCTCACTCACTCTTCCTCCCCAGTTCACTGTCTGTCTTTCTGATGCTCTTTACCTCCAGTGACAAGCATGTCCAGGATGACCACGATGGGGCAGGAGTAAGCGCTGAACAATTACATTGACAGATGGACGTTTTCTTTCTCTGGCACAGCCGTTAGCTTTTTTTGTGGGAAATGGGGTGAATTGGCTGTGGGGATTTTAACCCTCTGTCCCGCACTCATTTCCAGATCGATGAAATCAACGTCTATGGGAACACGGCGCTCCACCTGGCCTGCTACAACGGGCAGGACGCTGTAGTCAACGAGCTGACTGACTACGGTGCTAACGTGAACCAGCCCAACAACAGTGGCTTCACCCCTTTGCATTTTGCTGCTGCCTCCACCCACGGTGCTTTGTGTCTTGAGCTATTAGTCAACAACGGGGCGGATGTTAACATCCAGGTATGGCACTCTTAGTGTCTCTCTCTCCCTCTCTCTCCTTCTCCCTCTCTCTTCCTCCCTCCCTCCCTCTAAAATCAATTATAAAAGGAAAAAGAAAGAGTTAGGGAAAAGGAAGGAAGTGGAGGGGAGTGTAGAGTCTTCGTGAAGCAAAGCAGGTAATAACGGAAAAGTAGAATAGATGAAGAGAATTTCAGAGTTCTAGATCTTGTAAACAGAGACCATCCAAGGTCCTAAGTGGAGGTAAGAGGAAGGTCTTTGGGGGCATTGAAGAGATCGAGGAACTGTAGCCCAAGGTGGGGGAGAGTCATCGTGTGGGAGTGTGGGGTTGAAGTCGGAGAGTGTGCTGGTGGGAGGCTAACAGGTGGCCAGACCTTCAATGTCCCTAGGCTTGTGGACATTGCCATCCTGGTGTCTGAGGGACATCCTTAAAGCCTCCAAAGAAAGAAAAAGTATTGAAATTAAATGAAGTTTCTCTTTTCACCAACCTCCATTCAATTAATCCAAAGGTTTGCAATCACCTCTGTAAACATGTGACTGATGTTTACTCAGTGTGCTTATCCCGGGGCTAGAAGGACACACCTACCTACTGCTCCCAGGTCCCTGACAGTGGCAATTCCCATTGGACAGTTCCCATTGGCTTCAGCTGTGAATGGAGTATCGGTGTATGGCAGCCTTCTCTTCCCCATAGAACGGACCTGGAGGCATAGTTATTAGATTCAATATTAACTTGTCCTGTGGACTGCTAATCATCAGTAGAATATAGGAAATAGCATTTTAAAAACCTGAGACTTGGGTTTATGTGTTCTCAAACCTATGCCAGTGGGATTTTGAATTAAATCTAGCCTTTCCCCTCAATCTCCTACATCCACTCTGTCTACATCCTCTTGGTTTCCTCATTCTCTCGGGTCCCCCTTTGCTATTCCAGATGGCTTCTGGGATCATAGATCATCTGACAGTTCCGTGGAGCCATTTTGTCTGACTCTGGAGGTAGCCTTCTAATTGAAGTGGTTATCTCTCTCTACCACGTTGCTCCCTGGCTTTTGAAAGTGTTTGTAGATTGCAAGACAGTTTGTATTTGTTTAGATTTTCTAAAGCTTGAGGGAAATCACATATTGAAATATGGCCAATACCCACCCACATGTTCACTTTGTTTTCCTCCATCCTCACAAAACACTAAAAGCAATGTCTTCATGGGCAATGGCAAGAATGTTGAAAGAGGAGGAAGGATATGTGCCCTGTGTGCATTTGACAATCCCTCATTTTGCTTAGATTGACCGTGGCTTTGACCTTGTAATATTAGTTTATTTGTGATAAAATAATAAAGACATAATACTTCATACGGCAATCCATCAAAGGTTCATACAGCAATCCATCAAAGGTTCATACAGCAATCCATCAAAGGTTCATACAGCAATCCATCGAAGGTTCATACAGCAATCCATCGAAGGTTCATACAGCAATCCATCGAAGGTTCATACAGCAATCCATCTAAGGTTCATACAGCAATCCATCGAAGGTTCATACAGAATCCATCGAAGGTTCATACAGCAATCCATCGAAGGTTCATACAGCAATCCATCGAAGGTTCATACAGCAATCCATCGAAGGTTCATACAGCAATCCATCGAAGGTTCATACAGCAATCCATCGAAGGTTCATACAGCAATCCATCGAAGGTTCATACAGCAATCCATCGAAGGTTCATACAGCAATCCATCGAAGGTTCTTCCATTGACTTAGGAAGCCCATGGGAGTTTCTGGCTCTATCTGGCCCCCTCCCCGTGCCAGTGTTGTGCTCTAGAGGCGCTATTGGCCTTTAGTAGGACACGGAGCTGGTGATTCTGGGAGGCAGCATATATACCACAAAGAGCACAAAGCCTGCAGGTTCCCGGGGAGGAGAATGTCTGTGTGTTTAGGGAAGGTTTTGTGAGGAGTTGGAGGATGAGGAAGGGCGGCATTAGGAGCGGAAGAAGAGAATGAACAGATTTCTGAGGAAAAGGGTCAAGAAGAGAGAAACACTCCCTTAGGCCAAGGATCAATCTTCCTCAGATGGTGCTGAATTCTGCCCCGAGAGAGTATTCATATTTGTCATAAAATATCCTTAATCCTCAATTCGTTTTTCTTCATGATTTATGACTGCCCTCTGAGCCAGTAGAAGAGCTGTTTGCTTAATGAAATAAATCCCCCAAATAAAATTTTCCGAGCCCTCAATCTGATGGGAAAATGCATCTGGAAATCGGAGGGAGCCTAGACATTAAGAATAAGATTTGGAAAAGCAAAGCTGTGAATAAACAGGAACTGCTCATGACCTCTCCTTCGAGCATGCAGGGGTCTTTCATCTCGGAAGTTCTCAGAACATTAGCAGCCACAGCCAGCCCCCATGTGCACCATGTCTCAGGCAGGGCCCCTCCTCTCAGCCCGAGGACTCCGAGTTCCAGCTCGCAAGGCCAGCTACAAAGTAGTGTCCTTTTGACCTTCATGGGTGGTCAAGGGCTTTTTGAAGTTCATGCCATATGAACAGAACTGCCCTAAAGTGACTTGTAATGCTTCCTGTCACCTCCCCGCCCCCCTGCCACCCATCTCCCTGTGAGAAAAGGAGTCAGCAACGGCCTGGACTCAGTGGTAGACGAACCCAGGCAAAGATCGACAAGGATAAACCTGAATGGGCATCACCGCTGACCATCACGTTGTCCTTCGGGTTTTCCTGACCTTGGTCGGTCAGCCTGTTTATTTGTCCCTTTACCAAAGGCACACACACGCCAAGGGAGAGGCGGGTGTGGCGCTGCTGTCCCTGAAATGGACCCTCTTGGTAGACGACACTCTGCAGGCCCATTGCTTCTGCTCCGGCTCACTGGCCGCAGTTTGCTTGGTGACCACCAGATTTGGGGGGGGGGGGGGGAGGGAGGACGCCTCGGGGAAGACTTTAAGCTGTTCTCTAGGCGTGGAAAAGTGCTCAGTTAAATATGTACAAAGATACCATCTAAACACGGAAATACCCATGGCTTTATGTGTTTAATGAATCATGAATTAGTTATGTTTTCATATTAAATTTAAGAGACAATATTAGAGCAAAATTTAAAGAAATAGCGCCACCTAGGGACAAGTTCATGTCAGTCTGCAACTTCTGTTCTCTCCCTAGGCATCTTGGACTGTCGTCATGTTTTTATGAGGGGTGCAGGGGGGTGTTTTAAATCCTTATTCCCAAGTGGTTCCCAGGGGTTCGGTGCTTTAAACTGGCTGCACCTCCGACAGAGGGCCCAGGCTCTGGAGTCGGAGAGCTTTGGGGAGCCTCCTGGGCTGCGCACGCGTGGTCGGGGTGGCCACATATCCTCACTGTCCTGATGGCTGCTGCTTGTCCTCTAAAAATCCCCTCTCAGGAAGCCTTCCGGTGGACTTCCCTCTCTTTTCCTCAGCCCTTTCTGACTCGGGTGACACTGCTGCGAGGCGGGGAAAGGGCTATCAGTTCTTTTTCTGCGGCTGCCTGCGAACTGTCACCGCCAGGCCAGGCAGCTCCCACTCTGATGCGCTCCTCCCGTGGCCCAGCCTGTGCGTAGCTCCCTGCTTCCTTTCTGAGGAACAGACGTCAACTCCTCTGGTCAAGCCTGTGGTTCTGCGAGTGGTTCCAGCCCACCGTGGGAAGCAGGGTGCTCTGCAGGTCACAAGTGGGGCTCCCGTCGCCCCGATTCCGGCTCGGCAGGCCTGGGTTTGGGCACAGAATTCACATTGATCACAGGCAACCCGATGATCAGGCGCAGGCAGTCCTCGGTTCACTCTGATGAGAAACACTTCCTTAAGTAATGATTTGTCTTCTGCTGTAGAATTTTTTAAACCAAGAGCCATTTTAAAGGAACAGTATACGGGATGCATCACTAAAATGAACTTGCCTTTTAGAAACCACATATTTTAACCTCAGGCTTAAGAAGAGTGTTTGCCCTGAGACTTAGAAAAATAAAATTACATAGTGTGTTTATTATTATCATCATTATTATTATTACAATACTTGAATGAAAGAAGGCATTCTGTTGAGGATACCTTTGGTCTAAAATAACTAATAATTTGGGGGAGGATGTTACTATTTTAAGAAATTCTATGAATGACTATTTCTTAATTAAATGTGTGGGATTTGGGGATTTGGTGTAATGATGATCAGTATATAGATTCTGTGCATTTTTTATGTTTTGGCTTAACCTGTGTCAGGAAATCCCATCACTTATATCCTGAACAATGAAGAGGTGTATGAATTCAGTACACCAGTTTCCAGGTGAAGGGTAAAGGGGCAGTTGGCTGGACAGTTGCATGCCTCGATGCTGTGAATTCAGCCTTTCTCTTTTGCAGCAGTCAGAAGAGTTTTCCTCTGGAGTTGGAAGGGAGGGATGGTGGAGGATTCTAGGTTCGTCCTGAGAGTTGCAGTGATTTATAGCAGTTTGGGCTATGCCAGGTCACTCAGGGCCAAGCGAGGTAACACACTGTTTGTCTTTTTTCTTTGTTTTTCATGGACTATAGACAAAAGTTGGAGAAAAAAAAAGTCCTTGGAGAAAACTTCCTTCAACTAGTAGGTTATAAGAGATGAAAACATTTTGGAGGATTTATTCCATTTGAAACAGAGTCGTTTAAAAACTGTCAGTATAACTAGACATTTTGCATTTCTTCTCTAAAATAGTCACTTCTCCCGGCTTCTTTACGATGTGATGTTATGCAGCAACTTGAGGTATAACATACACTTTATCACTCGCTTTCAAAATTATCTTTTGCCACTTGTCATTTTTTTATTATACTTAAAAAAAATTTAAATGGACATTGTCAGGACATCACCAGCAGTGTCCGTAGGGATGTCTCGGACCCATGCCCCTGGTCCACTGTTTCTCTCTCCCTTCTGTTTCAGAGTAAAGATGGCAAAAGCCCGCTGCACATGACAGCTGTCCACGGCAGGTTCACACGCTCGCAGACCCTCATTCAGAACGGTAAGAGGCCTCTTCCGCACTCTCCTATTTGAACAGTTTTCTGGTCCCATGAGATGGGCCGTCAGTCATCTGAACGTGAAAGGTGATGCTCTTTTAGAGTTCATTGCGCTCGGATTTGCAGTTTCCTTTGATGTGCTCTGCTAAAAGCTCTTCCTCAGACGTCACAGCGCCAGCCAGCTCAGGAGGGACGACATAAAGCCACTAAGTTTCACAGTCCGTTCCCAGTCAAAGAGCATGTGAGTTCTGAAACTAGACATGATACTAGTATACATACCTCCATAGGCTCAAGATCCTGCACTTTTACTCAAAAACTGATACAAATAAGTACTATACATTTCCTAGCAGGAAGTCGGAGCTATTTTCAAGTTTCAGAATTCACCATCGTCCCCTAGGGTGAACCGCATTGGGCTGCTTGGGCAAAGGTAGCTAACTAACGATGAGGTGACCCGGGAAAAAAGCAGGTGAGTATGTGATATGAAGAATCCTACCAATCCCGTGCTTGATAGAGGCCTTGGGAAGTCACATGATCAAGCAATCTCCCAGGCTTACAGCAGCAGCCTACGTGAGCCAATGGGCTGGCTCCACAGCCAGAGTACCTGGGAGGGTCGCTTCACATTGTGGGTGGAGGCCAGCACCTGAGTGGGTTGACCTTCACAGCCCAAGTCTGTTATCTTAGCAAATCTTAGAGACAACTGAAAAAAAAACACACCAAAACCACGACCCCCCCCCACCCCCCCAACGGGGCTAGTCCAGATTTTAGCTCACGTTCCGGGTGAACCCCGCAGCTCCTCGGCTATCTTTAGCTGACCCACATTTCTCCTTCTCGCAGCTCTGGCATCAGTTTTCTTGGACCTAGTTTTCTCTCACCTGTCAGGACTTTGATGACATGCACTTGAATTATTCGTGGCACTGAGTTAGAGCGTAGGCACTCAGGTCGTAAAACCAAACCGTCGTTTGACATTTGGACGGAAGACCAGCCAGGGAAATGATGCTTAGAAAGCAGAATACCTGCAGCAAAGCAAAGGACATGTCTAGCATTTCAGGGAGACGGTCGGGGAAAGGCCGTCCTAACCAGTCCCCCCTGAGCCCGGGGAGGGAAAATGAAGATTAACGGCACACACTCACTCTTTGTAATTGACAAACGTGGCCTTGGACATTCGCTCCAGTGAGAGGACCGCGCTGGTGGTTTTATTCTGCTGGGCGTGGACAGGGGAGGTGGCAGGACCCTCGTGTCTCTCTTTTGATCAGTTTCCTTGCCCCACTGCATTTCTCAGAAGCAGTGTCCCCTGCCTTAAAAAATAAACAAAACTAGGGAGAAATTTGGTATAGTTTATTTTTTAAAAATTAATTCAAATGAACTGGGCCTTAGCTCTGTGGCATAAAAGTTTTGTTCCCTGTTAGAGCCACTTCAAGCACCAGTGACCAGACCAGACCAGAGAGAGTAGTTTCTCACCTTGTAAGCTCTGCCCTCCTCATGTGCATCCTGTGGGCCAGATGTACGGGCCTTCTCCTTTGAGTCCTGGCCAGACCCATCTGCCCTCTGCTATGCTAGTTGCTTACAACAGCCCTCCTGGCGGGTGGGGCACGGGGGCACTGCGTTGACTTCTCCAAAAGCCATCCCTGAGGACCTGAAGACTTCCACGCACTCTTTGCACATCCTTGCTAGATGTCTGAGTTGGGACGAGACCTGAAAGGGACCCCATTTCTTGTCCTCTGTGACCAAGGAGCTTTGTTTCAGAGCCTGTCTCATTCTTGGCTGGCTGCCATCTTGCTTGTGCATTGAATGGGGTCCAGAGGTCTCAAATGATGGGGACTTAGGGGTTAGAATATGTAGTCCATCCTATATAATAAAAGGCTAATATGCAAATCAACCAAACAGTGAAACAACCAGTCACTATGATGCACACTGACCACCAGGGGGCAGACACTCAATGCAGGAGCTGCCCCCTGGTGGTCAGTGTGCTCCCATAGCGGGAGCTCTGCTCAGCCAGAAGCCCTGAGCTGAGCTCACAGCTGACAAGCTTAGCAGTGGTGGCGGGAGCCTCTCCCGCCTCCGCAGCAGCACTAAGGATGTCTGACTGCCGGCTTTGGCCCGCTCCCTCTGAGGAGCAGGCCTAAGCCAGCAGTCAGACATCCCCCAAGGGCTCCTGGACTGCGAGAGGGCAGAGGCCGGGTTGAGGGAACTCAGCGAGTGCATGAATTTTGTGCACCAGGCCTAGTTATATATAATTCCAAAGCTACCTTTGGTCTAGTGTTCACACTGTGCTGGGCGCTTGGCTTAGATGTGCACACAAATCCTTTCAACCACCCCATGAGGAAGAGCTCCATTTCAAAGATGGGGAAATTGAGGCAGAGAGGGCATGGCTTTTGCTGGGATATTTGGCAGGTACGTGAAGGCACAGAGATTGGAACTGAGGCAGTCTAACATCAGAGACTGAATTTAAAAAATATATATTTTTTTCTTATTGATTTCAGAGAAGAAGGGAGAGGGAGAGAAAGAGATGGAAACATCAATGAGAGAGAGCCATTGATCGGCGGCCTCCTGCATGCCCCCCACTGGGCACGTGCCCTGACCGAGAATTGAACTGTGACCTCCTGCTTCATAGGTTGACCCTCAACTACTGAGCCACGCTGGCCGGGCCAGAGACTGAATTTTTAACCACTGTACTTACGTGTTTTCTGGATAAACAAGGACATTAAAGTTGTTTTTGACTTGAATTATATTTAGTCCAGGAGTCGCTTACATTTGGAGTGAGCTGTCCTTGAGATAGGATGATCTCATTCTCCTCCCAGCTGAGAATTCTTTGCGTTCATCCCCCACGTGAGAACTGCGAGTGCTTCCATTTGACATTTTACAGAGTGTCCTCAGGGAGGAGAATAAGCAGCTCTGTTCTTCCCTTCGGTCGGTTGGCTTCCTTCTGGGAAAGTACGGAGGCTCTCACCCTCACACCCGCAGGGCCAGTGTGCGCCTCCGAGGGGTCACTGGGCCAGGGGGCCAGGGGGCCCGGGCGCCGGCCCACGTGGGGACAGTGCTGGCTCCTGGACCTGCAAGCAGGCTGCGAGGAGCATGCTGTGTGTGTTTGTGGTTCTGTTCAGTCACTCTGGGGTTGGACTTCCTATGGCATTTCTCTGCTCTCTAGTCAGGGTTATTTCTTCTTTATAATCACTTTGTTTTTCCAGAATTATCCAGCTTCGGTAAGACAGCCATTGATATTTTTAGTTGGTTAGCAAGACAGCCTCTGATGTTCAGTCGCAGTTTGTTGTCTGAAGCTCTGTCGTCACAAGCAGAGGGGGAAGGACCTGAACGAAACCCGCCAGGGAATCAGGAGGCGCTGAGTCCAGCCGCTGGCCCCAGGCAGCTGCTCAGACGCCTCTCAGGAGGTTGCAAAAGTTCAAAGCAGCTGTTTTCTTCAGGAAGCTGTACAAATACATGGAGTTTGAAAAGCAAGAGTCAAATGCTGGGCTAGGATGAGTCACCGTGAGGTTTTTGACCGTTTGGCTCACAGTTCTGAGGCAGCTTGGTGAGCTGAGCGTGCTTGCGTGTGCGATGGAACTAGCTTCAGATGAGTGCGCGAGTGCATTCTTCTAAACTCAGATGCTTTTTTCCTCACTAACGACCCAGGACAGATGACCAGGGTGTAACTTGCAACCTTTAAGTGAATAGCAAAGGCATTTAATTTGCATTCCAAGAACATCTTAAAGGTCTTCAGGTAGAAATGGAAAGGTCTGGGTGAATGGAAAATGGAAATTCATTCATCTAGAGGACCTATTTTATTATAAACATTTCTGGATAACAACTACCCAAATTATGTTTTCTTGAAATGTGCTTTATTTTATTTTTTAATTGTATTTTAAATGACAATAAAAGCGTGTGTGGAAGTATCTATGTTTTTACAGTTTTAAATGGACTTATTAAATGATAGCACAACAACCGGAGGAAACTTTATCGACTCGGCCTCTCTTTCCCCCCTTTTCAATATGTTTCACTCTTCTTTCTTCTACCCAGTTTTTGGCATCGTTGAGGCTGGTAAACGTGCAGCTCTCACATTTGGTGAGAAAGGTTTGCCGGCTCTTGGCTGTGAAGGACCTGAGTGGCTCAGTGTGTGTTCAGGGTGAGGTTTCTCTGCAGTCTGGGGGCCTGCCCCCCTCATCTCCCCGGCCAGCTCCAGGAGTAGACCTTCCAGGCCGATCTCTGTAGGCCGTTCTTAGACAAGTACATGTACCAGGATTGCTCTGAGATATCCATGGAGACCAGCTGGCTGCCTGTCCCCAAGATTACATCATGTCATAAAAATGATTGGTCTAAGTTGGATGCTTCTAAATTTGGATCATAGTAAACAATCTGTTAAGTCCCTAGAAGATCCTATCTAATTTTATTTTCTTATTTTAACTGATTATAAAATTAGGACATGCTCATTGTCAAAGTTAAATCACAAGATTGCCCATGATATTCACCAATATGTCTCCCCACCGCCATCCCAAGAATTTCTATTGACATTTTGGTGACACTTCCAGATTTTTCTCTGTATTTAAGAATGTATATGTATGCACAGTATAAAGATATATAATCACTACTTTTATTTTTACAGAAATGATTATACTTGATATGAATAACTGGTTTTTAAAAATAAGTACTGTACCACAGTTAGAAAGATTTGATGTGCAGATATTTTCACGTTGATTTCTTTATTGCCAGGATGTGGGTAAAGCCTTTCTAACTACAACTTAAAATCTAAGTACAATGAAAGATTGGTACATTACAAAAATATTTTTTAAGGTGACACACCAAAGACAAATGAAATTCCAGGGGGAAAATGTTTGCAACATGTATTACTGATAAATGGGTAATCTCTTAAATATTTTAAGAGCCCTGAAAATCAAGGGATAAAAGAACCCCCTTATACACACACACACACACACACACACACACACACACACACACACAGACTTAGAAAAATGGGCAAAAGGCAATGACAAATAGTTCATAGGAAAAGATAAACAAATGGTTCTTCAATATATGACTAGATGCTCAACTTTCCTGATAAGAGAAATTCAAGTGAAAACTACACTGAGCTGCCAGTTCTCACCCATCACATGACAGTACTCATAGCTTGACAAGGCTGTGGGATAAAGGCACACATACCTTGCTGCAGAAATTGCAAAATTGCATAGGGCCTAACGAGGCAAATTTAGCAAATCTAACAAAACCACACTTTCTTTTACCCTGTGACCTAGAAATCCCCTTTCTAGGAATTTACCCGGATGATATACCCAACAAATACGAAGCCATAGGTTATTCACTACAGCATTCTTGATACTAGCAAGAATAATATTTACAACCTAAATGCTCATCCATATGAGACTGGGGCAGTGAACTGGTACATCCGGGCAATGGAAACCTTAAAGCTATACAGAGACGAGGAAGATCCCTAAGAAGTGGTCTCTAGAGGTGAATTCCAGGAGGTATTAAGTGAAAAGGAAAAGAGCCGCGTGTGAAAGAGCCTGGTGCTTATTTTTGCAGAGAAACACAGGAAACATAAACCCAAACCAGCGCAGGTGATTTCTACAGGATGTGGTTGAGGATGAAGTGGAAGGGATGGAAGTGAGAGTGGGGCTTTGTAAAAATCGAACTGTGACTTTTGAAACATGCACTAAGTACGCTGTTGTGCATTCATCCATTTTTAGAACTTTCTCAGATGCGCCATCCAGTAATGGAATAACTTGACCTTACGTGTCTGCTGAGGAGATGGAGTGGGGGATGCGCATCAACTCGGGGGTGTTCTTGACACAATGTGTAGCCTGAATCTAGTAATAAGGAAATCATCAGGCAATTCCAGAATGCAACACTCTACAGGACGCCTGGTTTGGCCTCCCAAAGTATCAGTGACACAAGAGACTAAAAAATAAATAAAAGGCAAGAAGATTTTTGTAGATTAAAGGAAAATAAAGAGGCAGGACAACCAAATGCTGTCAGAATTTTAGATTGGATCCTGGAATTTTTAAAATCGCTTTTAAGCACATTTTCGGTATAATTGGAGAAATTGGAACATGCGTTGTTTATTACATAAAATTATATCAGTGTTAAATTTCTTGGGTATATGATGGAATTATGGATATGTAGGAACGTGTCTTTGTTCTTAGTGGTGAAATGTCACATGTCTCACTGATTTTTAAGTGGTTCCTCAAATACATGAAAAAACAGGCTAATCATATTGACATATACGTATATAAAAAGCGGAAAAAGAAATGTAGTAAAAGAAAAAGTTGGGGGAAAAGACAAAATACAAAGGAAATACTGTCTTATTGTGGACTGCAGATGATGAATGTGATAGTGTTTAAAAATACATTTTCAGTTCAGTTCGTGCTTTTACTTATTTTACTCATCGCATTTTAAATTAGACAATCAAACTACACAAATATTTTCCTGAACGCTCTATTCGCCCTGGCTCTTTAGCTTTAGCGTAAGGCCTGCGTCGATCTTCGCTTCAGCAGGTACAGTGGAAAATGAGTACGTCTTCAGAATTACATTGATTATATTGTCCCTTCAGAGCAGGGATCTGATTGTAAGATGTTAGGTCCTCATATGACAATATGGAAAGCTTTTTCAGAAGCATTTCTAACAGACCTCCCTCCATGCAGCTTTGCTAATCCCCCTCCTTCAGATGGAAAAGTCTTCCTCTCCTTCGGGGGAGAGATGCACAGAGTAGGGAAGAAATCAACATCTGATCACCACGGGTGACTGGCAGAGAAGGCAGCATCAGATCAGCCTGGGTCCTTACGTTATCTCCTGTGTTAAAAAATCTTTTCCAGGAGGAGAAATCGACTGCGTGGATAAGGATGGCAACACTCCTCTCCACGTGGCTGCGAGATACGGCCACGAGCTTTTGATTAACACCCTAATCACCAGCGGAGCGGACACGGCCAAGTAGGTGACTGCCAAATGCGGTGGAATGATTGCCACGCGTGGAAATACTGCCAAAGGGGTTCTGCCGTGCGGTAGATAGGCCCGTTTATCCAGCTTCAGGTGGATCTGTACCGTTATGCTAAGGACAAATTAAATTTGAATGAAATTAAGTGACTTTTAATGACAGATGTAAGGAAGAACCAAATTAATTTTTTCAGCCACATCAATAAGAGGCCTATTCCAGTGGTTTTAATTAAGGAGACTTGAGCTTCATTCCTAACTTTGCATTGTAATACTCTGCTGTTCTCTCCCATGTTCCATGTCAGTTCAGCAGGGAAAATGAATCATACGTGGGCAAATTTAGAATTTACTCAGGATGCTTGCTTAATCTTAATTATGTATTATAGGGTCCAATTGAGTAAATGTGCTACATAGGGAGGGGGAGCTGACCTCATTTCACACTTCACTTCAAACAGGGATGTATAGGGCATCTGGACCAGCTGGCACAAGGCCAGGCGCTGTGGGGAATTTCAGAAGTTACCTGGTTGGTACCTTCAAGGAGGTCATGACTGTGTTGGAGGCCCAAGGCCTGCCCAAGACAAAGAACCATGCAAGTTAGCATATAATGAAGTTCCAAATGAAGCAGCACGTAGGTGGCAAGATGTTTGGTGTAGACAGTATGTCCCTAGAGTACGGACAGGAAGTGGAGAGCGCCCGTGTGGCCCACTGCTCAGAACAGCGTTCAGGCGATGAGGTTTAGGTAGGCAGAGGTGGCAGACCCCAAGCGGAGAGGAACGCAGGAACAAAAGATGAAAAGGGTACAGTTCTGGCAAGAGTTTGGGCTCAAAGAGTGTGTGTGGGGATGCCATGCTCTGCCCAGAGGCAGCGCCATGTCCCAGGTGGGGCCCAGGCTGTCACTGCCCAGGCTCCAGGCCAAGCTGCTTTGCTTGTGAGCTGTGTGGCCTTGAGCCCATTGCTCAATCTCTCTGTGCTTTGGTTGCTTCATTTGAAAAGTGGGAGTAATAATAGTAATTACCCATTGGTTTGTTTATAAGGATGAAAGGACTTAATTACTAGTAAAGCTCTCTGGAATAGGTTAAGAGCTGTATGGATTATATACGTACATCTGCTAAGGTTATGAAACAAGATAATCCATGTTATTCGTGCTTATCACAAAATAAGCTATCATTAAATGTTGACTATTATTTGTTAGTAATATGTAGTAGAACCAGATTACAGAGATACTTGAATCAAGAGTGTAGCCTTGATCACAGAGACCGTGGGTAACAATAACAATTTTCAGGGGCAGAACAATATGAGGGCAGCGTATTGTTAGGAATCTTATTTTACTTGACAATTTTGTACAACAGGATAAAAAGCCTTGCTTGAGCATGAGCCAAATGTAAATGGCCTGGGGAGGTGGGGTGGGTTTCAGAACAGTTACCTGCTTGATGATATCCCGAATGCTGCTGCAGTTAAGACAGAACAAGAAGTGAGCACAGTCGGTCAGGAGGAAGAGAAATGAAAACCCTAGAGATAAGCACCCCAAACCTAAAAAAGTTAGAGAAGAAAACCAAAGGGCTCTGACACCCCATAAAGGGACACGAGCCCTGAGTCCAACTTCAGACCGTGCTCTAGAGCTCAGAGAGGTAAGAAAGAGTGACGCCATGATCTTTATTTTCTGGACGAGAGAACTGCTTTGTCCTTGCTGAAGACCAAACAACCAGCAAGTAGCAAGACTAAACTCAAACTCAAAGTTTCTGACCCCATCCTCTCCCTTAACCGCATTTGGGTATTTCTAACATCATTCGCTCACTATAATTCACTTAATATAGATTCATGTTGCTATGAAAAAAGCTCCTAGATTTATTGAATTTCGAGTCCCTTCTGCAGTTGCCTTGGCGGGGCCAGACCAAATGATTTTGCGGGCCCCGTTCCCCACCCCCGACTAAGGGAAGGTTCTAGAAAAGACTAGATGTGGGAGGGATAGCCATGTCTCTCTGATGCCAAGGCGAACACTTGAAAGAATTGATATTCCAATGGTGCAGAAGTCCTTTGCTCATTCCGGAGAGCCGTCTGCAAATTGTTCTGGCCTCATTTATCCTGAAGTAACTGGGTAGGAGACGCCAGCTTACAGCTGAATTAGAAATAGCTAATACAAATGCGTTCCATTAATTTTATGTCTGGTCAAATAAATGGAGCCACTTAGCTGGAATTGGTCTCCTCTTTCCTGCCACGTGCACATTGTTAAGTTTGGTGCTAGCTGACACCCTCAGTGATTGGCCTTCCTGGATGTCGGCCTGATGATGTAAGAGAGGTCCTTCTTATTTGACCTCTAAGACAGTCGACTCCTCATTTTCTGCTAAAGATTTTACAGTCCTTCCTTTATGAGCAGTCTTGTGGAATAGCAATAAAGGAGGAATTTTATTTTGAAATGCACGAATCATTTCTGAAGTGATTCAGAGATTCTGAATTCTACTTTTATGTTCTTTCCAATGTCGGCCTAATATTTAGTTTTCCTATTTGAACCATAGCAGCATATTCAAGTTCAAATGCCAGTAGAACTTGAGTCCAAATTAATGCTTTCAAAACCTACACTGAGGTAGTGACTTTTTATTAACTATGGAATAAAAAATATAAACCAAACAGTATTTTTGCTAGACATTTTAGGAGTAGTTCTCCCTCCCTTATCTTCTCAGGTTTATAAGTAACAGCAAAAAAAGAGAGAGGTAATTTAGCTAATGTAGAGTGTAATGAATTATCTAAAGACAGTGGTGGTAAGTGGTATGGTTGATTGGAAATATTGATCATGAAGATTATAGAATACAATCCTATTAAGCAATCCTGTTGCTGCCATGTTATCACTTACACTTTTTATGTTTTCTTATAGAGTTTGATGCTATTTTCATCAATTCATTTGCTTGTATTATTTTATATAAATATATATCTTTATGTTTCTTTATAAAATAAATCCTAATATTATAGAAGATACATAACACATTATATATTGTACACATATACATTGTGTTGTAAATATAAATATATCATGCATATAGTATATAATATAAAATCTTAACATATTTATATTTTAATATTTTATATATGTATATAAAATGAAGAAGTCTCAAAGAAATCTTGTGCAATCCAATCCCGGATTTCATGTTTTTTCAGGAACTTAAAACCACCCTAGAAAATATTCTACCCATCTTCCTCTTGGAAATGTCCAGAGATATTTAATCATATATTTTTGCCTCAACTGCCCAAAATAAATAAAACTGTTAGCTAAAACCTCACAGCTGACAGTTCCATGTAGTTAAAAGCTTTTAAAACACGCCATCCAGGAGAAGAAATTGCCGTGTCTCAGTGGCATCACGAGGGAGCAATAGAAGCAGCAGCACAGATAGGAAGCTCTCCCCTCCTCCAGCGCGTTCTTCCTCTCTGTGAGCATCCAGGTTGTCGCTGATGCAATTGCTTTGCAGAGTTTTTTTTGTAGACGATGAGAGAGGCAATTACAAGCAGTGCTCCTGCGCGTGACACTGCCCAGAAGACGGCAAATTGCATGCCTTGATGGATGCCAGCTCTTATAGACCCTGGGCTGCAAATCTCCATGTAGGGAAAAGAAAGGGACGGAGGGAAGGCCGAGCAAAAACACTCATCAATAGAGAGAAGCGTTCATGGAAAGAGGGGGCTCATTGCTGGCAGACTCCGATTTCGCAGACACTCTGAATACCATGAGAGATCTGTGAATACGGATATACGTTCACACATCCACACACATCAGAATAACTTTTGAGATAGCAAATGAAGCTCATGTATCCAACACTTAACCAAATTCAAATCGCGTTTTTTATGCTGCATAGAATCTGAAAACAGGCCACTAGTGCCAGAGAGGAATCTTAGGTAATGTACCCACAGTGTAAATAGATGCCCTCGCTTGTGCTATGCAGAGGGCTTATAAAGTCTGAAATCTATTATTTGAGTAAAATGAGATGTAATGAGCAACGATCACTCACAATACAAGTGCTTGTAAGTGCACAGGATCTTCCCCATGATGCTGTTCACTGTGAACTACAGTTCAGCACATGGCTGGGGTCCTGGTTCCAGGAGAGGTGATGGGAAGAGGAGGATTTAACCTGGAGGCAGAAGGCGCTGCCATCAGAAGCTGCCTGTCCCCCAGGGGCGCATCCCGGGGACTGTGCTGTGGTGGAAGAATCTGTCTGAGAGTGCTTTACAGATTCTTTCTGGAACACTGTCAGGGAGCGTCTGCTAGGTTTTTGAAATAGACGCCAGATCAGGTTTGTTACGCCCAGCGGCGCTTCTGTGGCTGGATCCTGATGTGGGCTCGTGAGCAGGATAAAGGTCTGTTAGGAAGATGGAGTTTTACCTGCAAAAGGCAAACAGTTTTTATTCTCACCGAAAATGGTATTTTCAATAATACAGCCATTATTAACTTTTAGTGAAGTGCTTGGTACATGGTAGGTCAATAATAACTATTTGTTTATTTTTCTTTTTATTGATTTCAGAGATGAAGGTAAAGGGAGAGAGAGATAGAAACATCAATGATGAGGGAGAATCATTGATTGCTGCCTCCTGCACGCCCCTCACTGGGGATGGAGCCTGCAACCCTGGCATGTGCCCTTGACCGGAATTGATCCTGGGACCCTTCAGTCCACAGGCTAATGCTCTATCCACTGAGCCAAACTGGCTAAAGCTAAATATTTGCTTATTAATTCAAGGAATAAAGCAGGTTGCATTTGAAGTTGAGAGTTTGTCTTGGCTCTAGCACAGCGGTTCTCAACCTGTGGGTCACGACCCCTTTGGGGGTCAAACGACCCTTTCACAGGGGTCGTCTAAGACCATCGGAAAACACATATATAATTACATATTGTTTTTGTGATTAATCACTATGCTTTAATTATGTTCAATTTGTAACAATGAAAATACATCCTGTATATCAGATATTTACATTATGACTCATAACAGTAGCAAAATTACAGTTATGAAGTAGCAACGAAAATAATTTTATGGTTGGGGGTCACCACAACGTGAGGAAAGGGTCGCGGCATTAGGAAGGTTGAGAACCACTGCTCTAGCACTTACTACAGTATCTCATACTTAGAAAGTGTTGAACAGGTGAATGAATGAATGAATGAATGAATGAGATATAAAATTGCTAACCTGAAAGAAAAAAGAAAAGGAAGTTAATTTTAAATGTAAAGAGTCACATAATGTTTATGTGAAACATTTTCTTCACATTATTAGGGGCTTTTACTTCTGACTTAGGTCCAGGACTTTATTACTTTAAGGTAGAGAATGAGTGCATCATACTTCTCAAGTGGAAGAATTGCACAACTATTTCAGCCAAGAGTCCCCGAGCCGGGCGTGTGGGCTTGACTTTGCGCAGAGAACACCCAGAAAGGTCATCGTCGGTCTGCATGGACCCTGAGAGCTGTCCCCGTGAGCTGCTCTGTTTCTTTCCTCCTCAGGTGTGGGATCCATAGTATGTTCCCCTTACACTTAGCTGCCCTGAACGCTCACTCCGACTGCTGCCGGAAGCTCTTGTCATCTGGTGAGTACCTCCATCGCCAGCAAGGAGGCTGGATGTGTCCTGAGTGAGCCACGTGGCTTCCCGTGTCTGCTCAGAGCTGCCTGTGCTTCATGTCATTCATGCATCACCTGCTCTGGGCAGCTCCCAGCAAACCTGGGCATTGTCGCTGCTGGAATGTCAGCATTGCTGTCCCTGAATGAGAGTTTTGTCTGTTTATTAAGTTAGAGCTCGGGGGATCCAGAGTCAGAGACAGGCAGCAGTGGCCACAGCTCGCAGCGCGTTTGTCATAAATGGAGAAAACGTCTTTCAAGCTTAAAGTGGTAGCTTAGCATTTAATACTTTTCAGCAAAGGAAAGTGGCCAAATCTCCACCCTGCCCCCATTTTGACAGTAGAAAATGTCATATGACCTTTCCACTCCGTGGGCTCTGAAAAATCACCGTGGCTGAGCCCCTCTAATTAGGTCTCATTTTTATTTATTTAGTTATTTTTAATGTGGGCCTATTAGGAACCAAGAAATCCCTTCTGGTTTGGAGCCTTGCTAACCTTTCTTATCACTGCTTCTGCCAGCCTCCATGTATTCAAAGGCCATGGAGATCTGCAAGGCAAAGATTGTTTATGAATTAATTTCATAGATATTCCAGAAGCATTTGACCCCTTTAAGCACTTTACCTGTGGGGGATCCTGCTCCCGCTGCTTTTGGCATGTCTAAAAAGCATCCCTGCATGAGAGCACGTTTCCCAAACCTCAGACCAAGTGGCAGCTGAGGATACGTTAAGAAACTCTATGCCGGCATGTTGGGATCCCTCCTGTACTTCCGTGTTTTCTCCGTGTGTCCTGTCCGCCCAGCTGTCGCCCTCCTTCCTCCAATGGGTTTCCATCAGTATCTATCCTGGGGTTGAAATACGGGGCTGTGGCTCACCCAGAGCTGAATGTGAAAATAAATTCTTCTCGACTTCCCGGTTCTTCCTATAAAATTGCCACGCTTGAGCGGTTCCCATTCGTTTGTTTCCATGCCAACCTCTTTCTGACTACAGTTGCTTTGCATTCTGGTTTTTCTACTAACTGATTTTTCTGTCTCTGCAATGTTTCTTGTGGTTTAACTAGGACAAAAGTATAGCATAGTGTCCTTGTTTAGTAATGAGCACGTGCTGTCTGCAGGCTTTGAAATAGACACCCCAGATAAATTCGGAAGAACGTGCCTTCATGCCGCTGCTGCAGGAGGGTGAGTAGTGAGCAGTTTCAGCTGTGACTTCCTTTTCTTAATGACGAATGCCTCTCACTGGACGCCAGTGGTCTGTGACTCAAAGGCCGTTTCCTTAGTGAATTGGGTCAGAGCCGTTTCTACCAACACCAAGTATCGCTGGGTTGCATTTCCAGATTTACTTGCGTTATTGTCCTTCCAGAGAAAAATTTTAGCCCATCTCATCTAGAAATAGTTTTTCTTTGGTTTTATTCTCTTTTTCTCCTCATTTTCTTTCCTTTCTGTTTTTGTTTTTTTTTTTTAAAATTATAGATGTTCACCCTATAGACTATGCATCTCCTTGGTACTCCCTACACTGAAAGAAAATAATTTGATCGAGGGAATCCAAGATTGAGTTCATTTACAGACACTTTTGTCTGTATTTTTAAGTCTTCGTAGCAGTTAAATGTGAACAACGCTTAAGAAAACCCAAAGGATAAGAAAAAAGTTTAACCCTTGCCTTTTTTTATTGTAAAGATAATTTTTCATCAGATATACTCTTTTTGATATCAGTGGTTAGAGTAAGGCTCTCATCAATATATTTTGATGTATGACCACACATCAGCCAAACCTGGCCTTTCTCAGATGGCTTTGTTTGGGTAAGATGTTAGTTCTTTTTTCTTTTTTAAAATATATTTTATTGATTTTTTACAGAGAGGAAGGGAGAGGGATAGAGAGTTAGAAACATCGATGAGAGAGAAACATCGATCAGCTGCCTCCTGCACACCCCAAACTGGGGATGTGCCCACAACCCAGGTACATGCCCTTGACCGGAATCGAACCTGGGACCTTTCAGTCCGCAGGCCGACGCTCTATCCACTGAGCCAAACCAGTTAGGGCAAGATGTTGGTTCTTAATCAATTTCCTAATCCTTGAGAACCAGCAACACCTCTCCTCTTGCCTGTATATTAGAAGTGGGTTGACTAAAGCTATAGGGCCCCTTATTTGCGTGGTCTCCTTCTGAAATCTGAAATCTAGTTTTATATTCATAATTTTGTATTATTATTTTTATTTAAAAATCTTTATTATTGAAAGTATTGCATATGTCCCCTTTCTTCCCCGTTGACCCCTTCTAGCCCCCGCCTTCCCCCACCCCAGGCTTTCACCACACTATTGTCTGTGTGAAGATCCTCCTTCTCCCCACCTCATTCCCCCAGATCACGTGGGCTCCATGAGCCACACACCTGGGATCTGTCTGCCTCTGAGCCTCTGGCTTCATGCAGGAAGGACAGGTGCTTATATCAGCAGGCAGGCTACCCCAGCTCAGAATGGTCTCGAAAGTTCTTATGTTTTATGGCTAAAACAGCCTGTTCTCTGAGAAAGGTGGCTATGACGGGTGGCTGTGGGGTGGGGAGAGCCCTCCTCAGGCTTATCATGAACGAGATCATTTTTCTTAGTTAAATGATAATAAAACAGTAAATCCCAGGCCACTTCTTAGTATTCTAAATTTAGGACAATGATGGATGATTGTCTCCTCTGATGCCCACATTAAAAAAAAAATATATCAGACCTGCACAGAAAGTGACAGCACACCATTCTGAATCCATGTCTGTAACTCCTGTTATTATTAATATTTAACTACATGCCCTTCGATAGGAAAATTCACTTCGGTGGCTCCTTCGCTCTCCACTAAACATGATTTATTGCGGCTGCGAATGACAAAGGAGCGTTGGAAGATCACTGCGCTCCCCGACATCATTCTCGGCCGTGGTTCTGCACATTCACTTCCCGAGACCACAAAGGCAGGGCTACGCAGCCATTTCATTTTCTTTTAGGGAAGGTCTGGGTCAGAAATGGTGGCCATGGCGAGTTCATTCTGCCATGATGAAAGGTGATGCTCTCCAGTCTGGCTCTTGTTTAAAGGTGACATGACCCTAGGTTTAGAGGGCTGTTTCCCACACTCTTGATGGTTTTGAAAGAGAATTTTAGGGTACATGACGAGACCATTACTGACAGGTTTAATCACATAATAACCATTAAATGCCATCATCATGGAATTGAAAATGTTTCATCAAGCTCTTTCTCGTACTGATCGTTTAGCTTTGAAAAAATAATTGTAGGAACCATAGGTCCTTAATATGGCCTTGCCGTGTGTTCAGGTTGTTGCTAGAACCTAAAGCTGGAACTGTGGTTTCCCGCCACCGCACTCTGCAGAACACAGGTCTTCCTGCAGCGAGCCCCGCAGGTCGCCGCCACCCCTGATTGACGTTTTCTGTCTTTCCAGTAACGTGGAATGTATAAGACTCTTGCAGAGCAGTGGAGCGGATTTCCACAAAAAGGACAAGTGTGGGAGGTATGTGAACAGGGACCTCCGCTTCCGGTGCCTAAATAACAGCAGCAGGGAGCAGTCCATCTGGAAGCCATGTGATGCTGTCACGTGACGCTGTCACGTGATGATGGGATGGTAAACAGGGAGCTGGTTGGAAGAGTCCATCCTCGGAAGGAAGTCCTTCTTGTAGCGAAACGCCAACAAAGCAACAAAAACATAAGCAATCCAACATGTAAAATATTTATAATTTCCCTTTTTTGGACTAAAAAGGAGTAAATCAAGTGGTCAAAGAGCCCATAAATTGCCTACAAAATATAAAATAGTTGGATTTGAAAATTGATAAGTGGTACTTGACAAAAAAGTTACTCCATTTCTAGCAATTTGTTTGGCTAGTATCCCCTGATACTAGCAACACCAATGGACTGTAAAATAATTGAGGACTAAAAATAAGTAATATAAACCTTATATTCCTGCTCTGCGGTATGCTTTACAAGTGGCCATATTTTCTAAATGTTACTCGCTTGGCTTCTCATAGTAAATCCATGAGGTACATGGAGATGCTCATTATCCTTTTTAATTAATGAGAAAACTGAGCCCAGAGAAACTAAACGAGTTGTGCACGTGCATAGGATTTCAGAGCTCGAGTGGACCTGAGGTCCTTGTTGCCAGAAGGACGACGCCCGGGCCTGGAGAGGGGATGTGGTTGGGGCTGGCCTGCACACCTGTCCAGACCAGAACCCGGGGCTCCGGATTCCACGTGTATCGCTCTTCCTATTAGCCGCATAGTTCAGTGGAGAAGGTGAGACGACACCAACAGTTAGCATCAAGGCAGCACAGGATGAGAGTTCCAGAGAGGCCAGACAGGCGCTCAGCCATCTCAGACAGAAGAGAGAGAACTTCTGGTGGAGTGGGGTTTTCATGGGTGGAATGCTGCTCCCTGCTGCATTCCAGGGACGAGAGGAACTTGGCACAGTGGAGGGGAGTGTGAGCATGACAGGGAACACCTCAGGTCATTTCGTTTGGCTCATCTAGGGGAGAGAGAGACACTCCATGAAGGTAGGTCGGGACCAACTTGGGGAGGTCTTCAGCTTCACGCGGGGCCTTGTCAGGGGGGAGGACCAGAAGTTTTAGGACGGGATTGTCAGATGTGGGCATTGGACCTTAGAGAGCTGAGTTCTTCATCCGGAACAACTAGAAAGTCAATGGACATTTGATTCGAGATAGGAGGCTAAGAGGGATGGCCTGCAGTGTTTCATCCGGGCAGCGACATCGCCCTGCACCAGGAGAGGCGCGAGGAGTGGGAAGGCAGGTCTGCGGGTGGACGGCCTTGTCTGAAGCCACTGTTTCTGTAGCCTCACTTGCAATTACAGTCACAGAAGGCACCGCCCCTGGCCTCGGGGCTCTGGGGGACGGAGGAAGAGCTCTCCACACCCGTAGGAACCCTGCCTTCATGGGCCTGTGTGCCGCCTGAGGGAGGTCACACCTTGCCGCCTGTCTTCCAGGACCCCTTTGCACTATGCAGCTGCGAACTGCCACTTCCACTGCATCGAGGTCTTAGTGACCACGGGGGCCAACGTGAACGAGACCGATGACTGGGGCCGGACAGCTCTGCACTACGCCGCGGCTTCCGACATGGACAGAAAGTAAAGGCAGCCTTGTCCCTGTGTCTCCTGGGGCCGGGGACGGGGAGGGGCGGCTGGCTAATTTCCTTCATTTGCCTCAAGGATGCTGGGATGCAGCATCTCGCTCACCCAGATCGAAGGAGTTAGAGACGCTTCGTACCCACCCCACCACCCCCTACCTCCCACCCCCCCCCGCCGCTCCCCATTCTGCTCTCTTGATGTGTGATGATTTCATGTCACTGCACAATCACGTCTCTGTGTTTTGGGTGGAATGCCAAGGGGAGCTGTCAAGCCCAGGTTGTCAGCCCATTCAAAAATCTGTTGTCATTTATTTTGTCATCTGCTGCTGTTTTCATTACCACCCCTTAAATGCTTCATCTGCGGTAAAACTTACATGTGCTGATATGTGTGTCCTGTGTGGAAAATAGCCATCCATGCGTCAGCCCCGTAGCCTCAGATGCAGTGTCATGTGTGAAGCAGGCACTGCTGTCCCACGCGGGTGTGGACGCCCTTCCAGGAGCTGGCGGGGAGGAAGTCTTGCCCTGGCCGTGGTAGGAGTCTGGGTGGCTGGGAATGGGAAGCAGGATCCAGTGACCCGGTTCAGGGGTAAAGACGGAGAGGTGCCCGTGATGTCTGAGCTGGTTCTCACAGACTTAAGGACCAGGGCCTCCTCCGGGGGAACAGCGTCCAGGGCCTTGTCTGCTGCCTCGGGCTGTGGGACTGACTGGGTCAGTGCTGGAGAGCGTTGGAGAGAAGCATGCATCACACACAGGGTGTCCCCCCAGAATGCATTTGCACTCTGAGTGACTATAAAATCAGTGTGTATTAATATGCAGTTCATTTTTCAAAATTTAAAAGAATCTAGGGAAATGAATAATTTTTTTCTGTCAACGCCTGTGTTCAAACTGATGACCGTTCTGGCCCAGGCACTGCTGATAACGCGAGGCCCTGGGATCGCAGACATCAAGGATCATTTTGTTCCGTATTTGTGCGCCCTCAGTTCATCCACGGATGCTGGTTTTGTACTGAAAACTTTAACTTTTATGTTTCTCCATTAAAAAATAAGTCTACTGGCACTTTAGGATAAATTTTCTTTGTTCATAGCTTAGTCTGGCTCCACCCATTATTTCAAACCAGTTAAACCCGAAAAGGAGTGAAAATTAAGTGAATTCTCAGCTGTTAAAGTGTGTATACCTTTTTTGGGGGGACACCCTGTAGATCCTCAGTGAAAACTCTGTAGTACTTATTTCTTTGGGTTGGGAGAAAAATCATTGAGCTTTAAATAGCACCAAAATCATTAGCAACTTGGCCATTAAAACGCTAATTGTAGTTTTCTTTCTTTCCCTCACGCCGCCGAGAAGTAAGACCACCCTAGGAAATGCCCACGAAAACTCAGAGGAACTCGAAAGTGCCCGCGAGGCGAAGGAGAAAGAGGCTGCCCTGTAAGTTACTTCCCTGAGTCGCCATGGGGCCAGCCTGGCTGTTGGGGGTTTTCACTTGGGATCTTGAGGAGGTGATGTGGGCTTGTCGTTAATGAAGAAGAAACTGCTCTTTTAATACATCCTTCAGCCGGGCTGCTTCACCCAGGGCACTCTTTCTAAAATGGTGAGCGTGGGCACGGCCATGGCTGTGATTGGTCAGCGGCTTTTGGAACCAGATGTGTCTGAAATATCATTTCTGACTCTGCCAGGTATCGGGTGCCTCGGGCGACACCTTGACATTCCTCCCAGGGCCATAGGCTCTCCTGTAGGGCCTGCGGATAACTGCTTAGCGGATTCTATAAATAAATGCGTTGAGATTTCAGTGGGAAATACACCCATTGTACTCTCGTCTTCATCCCCAACACTCACGTCAGCACACACACAGCCCCCTGCCCTCAGCCGCTGCTCCTGCCCCCTCTCCCCCCCCCCCCCGCCCCTGCCCGGCTATTCCTGTGATGGGGTGGGGTGCCTGTCTCCCCAGGGCTGTTGATTCCTGGGGAGCCCTAATGCTTTGTCCCTGGGAGCCCTTCCTGCACGACAGGTCACAGTGACAAGCTTGTGCTGCCCAGCGCGGTGACCAGCACACAGCTGGTGATCAGTAAGTAGTTGTTGAATAGGTGAGCAAACGAATGAACGGTGCCCACACTCTGGTCTCGGGACCCAGTGGATGTAGTGCCCCAAGTCTGCACACACACACAGCCCTTGACTTGCTTGCTCTCTTCTCCACTCTAGGGCCTTCCTCCCACCCGGTGGCTCCCCCCCACCCCCCACCCCCCACCCCCCACTGTCAGGACCCGGGCCTAGAGTTAAGTTGACTACAGGAAGTTGAGGGATGTAGTTAGAGGGTGGCTCAGGTGCAGGTTCAGGGACATACTTTGTTACTGGGTGGCAACGGGAAGCACTGCTGAGTGTAAAGCAGACTGGCCAGGTTTTACTCTAATTCTCCGCAATTTAAATAATCATATTAAAGCCCGGCCGGCGTGGCTCAGTGGTTGAGCATTAACCTATGAACCAGGAGGTCACGGTTCGATTCCTGGTCAGGGCACATGCCGGGTTGCGAGCTCGATCCCCAGTGGGGGACATGCAGGAGGCAACCAATCTATAATTCTCTCTCATCATTGGTGTTTCTATCTCTCTCTCCCTTTCTCTTTGAAATCAATAAAAATATATTTTAAAAATGATCATATTAAAGACTGGAATTTTAAAGCCATCTCAGCAAATGCTCCTTCTCTAGGAAATGCAGGCTTGCCCAGGCCAGAGCAGTCGGCTTACAGCTGATGGAGAGGGAGGGGTGGGAGGGGCAGGGAAGGGGAAGGTGGCCACCTGCTGCCCAACTGCTGCCCGAGAGCCCTTTTATGCAAAGAGGCTACTCCCCCCCTTCCCCCCCTCCCCTGTCCAGATACACCCCTGGCCTAATGTGCATCTCTTGATGTTGCAGCTTAGGAGCCAGAACTGCCCTGGGAGGAGAAAAGATAAACGTTTCCAGTTAAAACTAGTTAATCACTGTCCCATAAAAAACAACACGGAGAATTTTCAAATTCTGTCCAACTGTTGTTATTTCAGTAGCACTGTTGGTAGTATAGGTCAGGTATATTCTGGATTGAATAACTCTTTGGGAGCAATTCCAAGTGTTTTCCAAATTTTATATTCCATTGGTCAACAGATTTTCAGCAGCTGGGGGTTGTGCATCCATAGAATGCCATTCCTGTTGAATGTTTTATATGAGAGCCAAGTTCGGCTTACAGTGAGTCACACCTGCGGTCCTGCCCATGGGCATTTTATCAGCCAAATAAGGGAGGACTTCCTCATAAGGTACCTGTCACCAGAGGCAGTATGACGTCAGGGCCCCAAGAATAGCTTGACTTATTATTATGGAGTATTTTTATGGATAAATCATGTGACATGGAGGTATTTGGTTTAAAAATATATGTCTTTCATCTATTTTTTCTAGAAATTAAAATATCATTTTAAACAGTCTCTGTATGTGATCTATTTTTCTCTTTGTGGCATTTGCCAAAAGATAGGTAAATGTCACTTGAAAGCTCTTCTGTGCACTATGGAAATTTTCCTTTGAAAGTTCTTATTTAAAGTATAGGCTTCGGAATATTACAATTTTAATTTGATATGAAATTGAATCAGCTTGGTTTTGTGTAGGAGTTGTTGGTCCCACTGCCACAAAAATAAAATTGAGCCCTGCCCAGCGTTGCTCAGTGGTTTGAGTGTCAGCCTGCCCACCAGAGGGTCACAGGTTCGATTCCCGTCAAGGGCACGTACCTGAGTTGCAGGTCCAACCCCCACCCCAGTCGGGTTGGGTGTGAGAGGCAACCAGTCAGTGTGTCTCTGTCACATCAATGTTTCTCTCTCCCTCCCTCCCACCCTACTCCCTTCCACTCTCTCTAGAAATCAATGGAAAAAACACCCTCAGTCCTCAGGCGAGGATTAAAGTAATAAGAAGATTAAATTGAAATCACAGAGCAAGTGGTGTGGCCGACTTACTCCATCTTCCCCAGCAGGATCGTTCCATTTGCGATAAACCCTGAACAGAACTGGTTTGGTCCTCGAGGCCCGTGTCCTGGAGTTTGGGGCTCGTCTGGAAAGGGGAGCCGCACGCCTGCGTCTAAACTATTCCTATGGTTGTGGCTTTTTCAGAAAAATGACAACTTTGTCATCAAAGGCTTTTAAAATGTATTAGTTATTATTTGCTTTAGTCTCTCTTCCTAGTGGTGCAATTTGAGTCTTTTTCTTCATTTGTGATGACTGACTTATGTTCTTTTAAATGTTTACCCATTTTAGGCTCTTCTTCCAGGTTTTTTCTTTGTTTGTTTGTTTTGTTTTGTTGTTGGCACCTTCTTATACATCTTAACTTTCCTTTTCCAACCTTTTGATCTTGGAGTCTCCCATAGCAAGGTGGGAAGAACCCCCTCTCTGAGGCTGGCCCCGTTGCAAGGGCCGGGACACTTCTTTATTCCAGTTGAGACTTTGCCTTTTGAACATGGAGCTCTAACCCTGCCTAGTCAGTGGTGCTGACAGGGAGGGTGTCCACCTTAGGATGAGAAGGGAAAAGAACTGAATGACCGCCTTGTTGCTAACGGCTTTCCTGAATTCTGGAGTGGCAGTTTTAACCTGAAATAAAGGCACACACACACACAAACACACGCGCACACATTTCTTCCAGGACACAAACCCTCCTTGCTGTAGGATTTTTAAAGAAATACTTAAACTCACAAAGTGCTCTGTGGAGCATTCATAATAGGAGGAAGTTTGCATTCATTATCTCTTTTGGTCCAGAGATGTTTTCTGAAATGACCTCATTCCTACACTTACAGATGCCTCGAGTTTCTGCTTCAAAATGACGCCAACCCATCTCTCCGGGACAAGGAAGGCTACAATAGCATCCACTACGCGGCTGCCTACGGCCACAGGCAGTGTCTGGAATTGGTGAGTCGCTTTGCCTTGTCTTGTTTTCTCTGACACACACACACACACACACACACACACACACACACACACATATGCACCCAGACCAGACAGTGCTGGTCTTAATGCCTCAGCAAAGGGCCTGACTACCTAGTTAGGTCCCCCTAGAAACCACCTTGAAGATGTTCTGTGGTAAGTGATTCAGTTGTTTAACTGGATCATGTGAGATCTCTTTGTTCCTTTTCTGTCCATCCTAATCTTAGAAATGGCTGACAATGAACTCTTTTCTACATTAACTTGGGCCGAGAATGTAAGACCTGTATACGGACACAGTTTGTATTTTAAAGATCATTTGGACGTATCAGAAAAGCTCAGTATATGTTTCTGGAGGCACACGTAGCACCCACATATTCAGGAGAATTGTTGTAAGATAATTTACATAATCTTGAGGCATGTGGGCTTGTTACAGTCCAATGTGCAGTCTAGGGAAAGAAATTGGCAAGGGTACAAAAAAATCAGAATGTACTGGAATTCCCAAACCATGAGAAATTTCAAACCTGTCGTGATCAGAGAACACTTTGGGGTTTGGGTCAGAAATGCCTCTGCTGGCATAGGTCAAAAGAGACACAAACTCACATGCTCACAGGAACCAGAAATGTAAAGGAGTGAAGTAAGCCCAGGTGTGCAATAGGGAGTGGTGGGGATTGTGGCAGCTAGAGAGCACATGCTCTGTCTAAAGCAGTGGTTCTCAGCCTTCTGGCCCTTTAAATACAGTTCCTCATGTTGTGACCCAACCATAAAATTATTTTCGTTGCTACTTCATAACTGTAATGTTGCTACTGTTATGAATCGTCATGTAAATATCGGATATGCAGGATGGTCCTAGGCGACCCCTGTGAAAGGGTCATTCGACCGCCAAAGGGGTCGAGACCCACAGGTTGAGAACCGCTGGTTTAAAGGGAGAAACAGCGAGTCAGCCCCAGCCCACGGAGACCAGGTGGGAATGCATACCTGGGGTTGCCAGACTTCAGCGTCTCAAGAGGAGGTAGAACTCTAGACTTCGTATGTGAAATTGGCTGCTTAGAAAACCCTGGGTGGACTAGGAAGAAGAAATGTGGATTTGTGGCTGGATTCTCTCTGCTAGCCACCACTGGCCATCTCCAGAGCATCCCCCTCATTCAGCTTCACCCGGATACATGGGCCATCCAACCTCCCCATCTCTGGTCTAATGAGAGGTGTCACCTTTGGGGACTGGACTCCCGGCTCTTGTCCATGTTTCTTTAAAAGCAGAAGTCCCACTGTCAGAGCCATTGAGAGGTGTCCGGTGTCCGGTGTCCGGGGGAACCTTGCACAGTTGCACAGCGGTTGAGAGAGGCAGGAGGCAGAAAGCGAGAGAGCAGCCGTGCCCGCGCCTGCGGGGAAGTGACTCAGTGATGCCCCGGCTTGTTCCGTTCCCTTTGGCTTTGCTGCCGGTTTCAGGTGGTTCCAATAGGGTCGTTCTTACTATTACACACAGTTATGCACACAGGTTTATAAAGGTCCCCCAGTTTGGAAAGGAGAGGGTGATTATTCTAGTGGGCTTTTGGTGTGGCATTTACTGGTGAATGGTGCCTGCCTTCCTAATCCTGGAATACTTCCGAGCCTTCTTTCCTGTGGTTCTTGTGGATGCTAACGATGTCCCCGTTTGACCTTGGGGGTGGCATTTCCCCTCTAGTTTTGATTCCATTCTGGTTCTTCCAGTTCCGGTGGCTGCATAACAAATCACCCCAAAGTTAGTGGCTTCACACAACAGTCATCATGTATGTGCGGTCCCTGTTTCTGTCCCTCTGGAACTCAGGAGTGGCCTAGCTGAGTGGTTCTAGTAAAGGTGTCCTGTGAGATCAAGTCAGACAGTGGCTGCTTTCCATTGGTTTTCTCGATGAAAACCAGGCCGTAATCGGACGTCGAAACACTTTTATTACAAAGTTTGTTGTTGCAGTCTTAATAACTTGTGCTGGTGTGTTGTTGTTGTTGTTCTTTTTAAAGAGTAGTTTATTCATTTTTTGAGAGAGAAGGCGGGAGAGAGAAAGGGAAATACAGATGTGAGAGCAGTATTTCTGCACCACCTCCCCTACCACCCCCCTGTCAGGGATCGAGCGTGCAGCCAGGGCAGGTGTCCTGACCGGGAATTGAACCAGTGACCTTTTGGTGTGCGGGAGGATGCCCAAACTGAGCCACGCCAGCCAGGGCCACTTGTGCTGGTTTGAAGAATGCTCCTGTAACACTTTCTCTCTATGTAAATAATATATTGCACGTTATTTTTATCTGTCAGGAAACCAGCTCGGGGCCCTATGTCTGTTAGCCAGTGACCAGGGTTTCTGTCCACCAGAGGCTTCAAAGTTCTGTTTGCTCATGAAAGTACCCCTCTGATTCGATGGCACTTGCTCTGTGTGATTCACAAAGAGATGACGATTCCTGGCCATTACAAGACATTCAAACATCAGGCGTCAGGGGGACGAGGGTGGGGGTGAGAGGTGGGGTAGTAATTGATCTCAATTTGCACTGTCAGCTGAAAAGGACCAGATTAGCAACATAAATTGGTAGAAATGTCACCGTTGTTTGTTTTCGGAAAAGAACCCCAACGGGTCATTTATAACAGGGATGGGAGAGAAATTCTCCCATTGTCCTGAATTATTATGGTTATACAGAAAGTTCCGTGTATTTCCACTGTGAAATGCACCCTAAAATTCCTCTTGGGCAGTTCCAATAAGCAAGGATCCTGAGCAGGCTGTAAGCATCCTTGCACCCTGCACCCTCCTGTTCAAAACAAACCAACCCTGGGCTCTCCACTGGGAGTGGCCTCAGAGAGCCCGACCACCGTGGGTGTCTGCTCCCACCCCTGGCCCATCCATGGTGGGGATTTGGGGGAGGGTGGGACCAGCACCAATGGCATTTGTTGTGTGTTCATCACATGCCAGGAGTTTTGCATACATTATGCCATTTAATTGTTTTTCCGTTTTCTTGAGGAATACTTGATATACAGCCCTGTATCCATTTAAGAGATAGCCTAACGACTTGACTTACATATATTGTGAAATGATTAACAGTAAGTTGAGTTAGCATTCATTACCTTCTATAGATTCTTTTCCCTTGTGAGAAGAAGAAGGCTGTTCTTGAAGCAAGCAGTGGGTTTTTTGAGGAGCACCTTTTCTAGTTTCTCTCTCTCTCTCTCTCTCAGAACACAATACCCTGATACTTCCTTGGGTCCCAGACATTAGGGAAGCAAACCAATGGGCCCATGTGCACTAGAAGGTGCATTTCTGAGACTCATCGCTGCCATGCCGGCCTTCTCCCTCATCTCAGCACACAAATACCCCAGCCCTCCCAGGGCTCATACGTCTAACAATTTGGTTCTGACTCTGCGCTGGGGGCCAGAATAATGCCAGTGAAAGACATGTTTGTGGTGCTCTAAGGAGCTCAGCTGAGCCTCTGAGCAGGAATTATGCCGGGAGACCTTCTGTATGTCGTGTTCCCTCGCCCATGGTTCTGGCCTCCAGAAGGGACACAGAGGAGGAATGAATGTTGTGGCCTCTGGGCATGTCCGGCCAGGCCAGGCCTCTGTGCTGCGGGCGGTGGATAGGACTGAACAGGGTGCTGGCCATCAGAGCAGCTGATTTGCGAGGTTGGTACAGTGTGTCTTCTGCCGCTCTTCCCACTTCGCGGAGCAACTCCTGTGATCGTGCGCATCATTAAATCCGGGTCATTAACTTTGATGCACATGTTATTTGACTCTGACATTTCACTCGGTGTGTTCGTCCCGTCTGTGATCTGAGGCTGAGCATTTGTAAACCCTACTTAGTGTTCAGTCTATTTTGCTATCATCGAAAAGGAGCAGAAATGACTTTTTGTTCTTTTCACTCTATTTTCCTAATATAAACATATGTCGAATTTGTTCCAAAAGCACAAACCTTCTAGAAAGTAGTACGAACCCTTTGGCCTCTACAGAGGAGCTCAGGTTCAGAGTTCTGCCAAGTCGGCCTACTCAGGCCAGCATTCTCAGCTGGACTTGGCCAAAGAGGTGCAAGCAAAAATCTGCCCACAGACGCATGCCAAGGGCTGTGATCAGTTACATGCGATTGAGCTCAAAATATCAAGGCAGCAAGGAGGAGCCTGGCTACCACAGCAGCTTGTCTGAATAAAACTTACGTTTCAGGGGAAGAAGGGGGTTAAAGAAGAGCTCGATGCCTCCCTTCTCCTTGGTCTGGAATGCATTCTCTTTTTAAAAAATATATTTTTTATTATTGATAGTATTACAGATAAGTCCCATTTTCCCTCTTTCCCCTCCTCCCAGCCCCTCCCCTCCTCTCAGCCCCTCCCCTCCTCCTCCCCTCCCCTCCTCCCAGCCCCTCCCCTCAGGTCTTCACTCTTCCTGACCTGGAAGAGAACAACCGGAGAGTCATGCCTCTACTTGGAGTCTGTGTGTTTATATGGGCACACTGAATTTCCTTAACAATACTAAAGAGTTGTCTGTGGCAGCAAGATTTTTGTGGTTTTGTTATACTGAGATGGAAAAATGTACGGGCCAATATAATGACATAAATCGCCTACAGAAACTTAGAGGGATTGTTTGAAAACTCGAAGCTTCTGAACCAATTCAGCCCAAGACGTTGCCATGCCAAGTCTCTGGGAATTTGGCTGCTTCCCCCCCGGCCTTCTCCCCTGTTCCGAGCCAACTTGAACTTCAACTGTGAGAGTGTGGGGGGGTGACAGACGCCCCTGCATGTGTATTCTAGGAGTTTCTGAGATTCTCTGAAGATAGACTGAAGGCCACTTTATTTTGGGCCACTGAACACTGAAATTATGCTACTCCCAAGTAAACTACTGAGTGTTTCGGGTGGTCTCTGCGTTTATCAGGGGCCTTTAAGAAACCGTCACCGCCTGGCTCCGTAGCAGAGGTGCGTATATTAGCGATGTCTGCTTAAGCGTTTCGAGGCGAAGAACGCAGAGAATCGAAGAGTTTAAAAAAGAAGAGTTACTAAGTA